CTGGTGTAAAATGGAAAAATATTTTTAAGTGTTGAATGGGGTGCAAGAGAGTATGTAATACAATACATCTATAGTATGAACACGCTATTTCGTTATTAGTGGCATTAAATACAACAGGTGGGCAAGACAAGAGATAGGACACTGTTCTTCTTAAAGTGGCCAACATTATCTCAATATCAACTCATGACTGTACTTGGTGCTTCAAGAATTTTTCAGAATGTAGGAAGTAAATTTCCCTCTTGGTTTGACAATTCATCAGCGATGCACACATTAATTCCCTCAATAGATAAACAACACAGGTAGCTTGTTGATAGGCGACGGTTTCGGTCACAGAATAAATAAGGCATTATGAAGCAGGTCAGCCACTATTCCTCTGTCTCAGTCAAATAAATCATAGTGCGTACAAAACCGAGCAAACTGTAAACAAAATACCTCTTTTAATCTGGGAAGCAACAGAACATCACTCGTATACCCTCCTCGACGTCTTGGGGCAAACAAACCTTTGTCGTGCTCATAGAGTCCAAGCTCTAAAAGGTTTCGGAGAGCAAGACTTCGCTTTTTGTTTTCTCATTTCCTCCACAGAAATAGTGTTAATGCATGATCATGTTTGTTTATTAAAAGTTCAAAAGCATTAAAGCAACACGAGGTGTAAATGTCACGGGGGTGCAACATGGAGGATGCAGCTTTAGCGGGGGGGGAAGGTTAAATAATACGTCTGGAGGCTTTCGAAATTGTGTACTTTTTATCATCAAACTTTGTTTAATTTCAGTGTCTTGCATTAAATTTTGTACATGGCAGAAAAATCGATCAACGCATATGACGATCAAAATTTTGAGGTATTTCATCGACCTTTATGGAATATTTCGAGTGGCAGAAATACAATGTCGTTTTACTTCTAGATTGTGTGTTGTGTTGGCATTTGTAGTCGTTGATGAGGGATTCAGAATTCATAACAATCGATTTTGTTCTGTTTATTTATGACTAAAAAACAAACTTCATAAAAGCGGTTCTGATCCATAGCTCAATCGTGAGCTCAAACTCTAGAACATGTACAAAGATATTTGATTCAATTTTTTTAGATAGATTCAAATGCACTTATATGCAACAAGACTGTTGGAGCATAGCATAACTTTATAGGTCGTTATTATGAAAGAAATATTCTCGAATCGCTGTCCTCTTCCCCACATAGATTTATGAATGAAATACAGTAAATCTAGAGTTCAATTTGATAGTTTTACTTGCAGGCTACTCTTCTGACATGAAATATTTTTTCAATCAGTCGCATAGCCAGCTCACAAGTTTGTTGATGCAATGTAAATGTTTTGATGTTCACTCATGTGAACTGTTAAAACAAGAGATTTCTAAAGAGATGAATTTTTCTAATGAGAAATTTACATGGCGGGACCAAATTTGCAGGCTGGCTACATGCACCACTGTTTTCAATGCATAATTTTTCAAGATATTTTTCTACAAAAATATGCTTGAGAATGTATCCACTTCTTGCTGTATATTTCATGAATGCTAGGTTGAGAAAGATCCTAGCAAGACGGAAGAGAGAGAGAAAGGTTGAATACCTGATAAAATGGAAGGGTTTTTCATCAGAAGAAAATTCATGGGAACCAGAGGAAAACATGAATGAATGCCAAGAACTTGTTAGACAATTTCAAAAAGGGAAAAAGAAATAAGCATGAAGGCAAGAAGTCAGTACAGTAAAATTTAAATTTTTTTAATTCAAAGTATTGTTTGTTCTTCTTCACTCAAATATACAAAATATAGTCTCCGATGGCTGTGTCAGGGATAAGAAGAGGTGGCATGGATAAGAGGAGGTGGCAGGGATAAGAGGAGGTGGCATGGATGGGACATTGAGACACATACAACTGTGAGGCTGACATGACTGTATAAGGGATGAGAGGTAGAGACAGGATGGCAGAGGGAGACACATGAATAACTGTACCAGTGATAAGAGATGAAAGTAGGGATGGGAGAGGAGGCACCAACATCCACAAAGCTAGATGACTATCACGATATGGGAGTTGTTGCTACTTTTGATAGGAATGGTAGAAAGAGGCACCTACAATTAAGAAGCCATATGAATCTATGAAATAATAAATGGGGTGGGTGGGGAAGCCCCCATGACTGCCAATCTGGATGACTGTCAAGAACGACAGCGTAGAGGTGACTCTTACGACCTTAGTCTCACTCACGGTAGCTACTTGATATTTCTTTGCTTATTCAGTGGGAGAATGCTTTCAACTGATATGGTTGTATGATGGGCGGAAAAGCCCGATAAATCTCTTCATTTACTTGCGATGAAAAACGGTCTGTCTTCCCTAGAGAGGTCGCGCTAATGGTTTTATACCGAAGAAGAAAGCACGTCAAAATCATCTGATTCAACGTCGAAAGGTGCAGAAGAATATCAGATATTGCATCGAGTCCATCCACCACCGTCATCAGAAAATTCAGGTAGTTTGCGTTTGATGGCCGTCTTGCCTTGTTCTGTCTTTTGTTACTTTACAATTACTATTAATAAAACTGTGTCATTACTTCATTTTGTAGCTGAAATGTCGAGGCACAAGGAATCGAAATTTATCCATCGAGAAGAAAGGAAGCGCACAAAAACAAAGAGAAGAGAAGTTGTTTTGAAAAGAAAGACAACACATTTGAGAGTCCTAGCGGTTGTTGTCCTTTTCTGTCTGATTATTTTCGCGCTTGTAGCACCGGTCGGGTCGTCCATTGACGTTTGAGTATTAAAATAAGATGCTTTACTAGATAACAAGAAGAATGGCGGTTGGAATCAACTATCAACTTACCTGCCAAAATTTGATGTTTCGAATGACATGTGTATGTGGACGTCAATTTCTTTCCGACTTTCTGGTCATGCTTTCAGCCGTTTGTACGGTCGTTTGCAGAAGATTTACTCAAAACTTATCTGCTACCATCTTAGATCGGTCGAATTGAAAGACATATAAGTCAGTTGTGAGATTGAACGATCTTGCGGATAGAACCATTTGCAATTTATTTTGACTTTCGCTTTAGAACTTGTGTGGATTAACGTGCATCACGCTAAGTTCCTGAAACGTGTTTCGAAATCACGATTTTGAACAACTCTCATGTTTTATATATACGTATGGGTTTTATTTAGACAAGGTTAAAGGGAGCTTATATGGTATTATGTGTATACTTTACCCAAATATTGTAATTATTGATTTTATTTAAAGAATTGTTGCAATTTTCCATTACGTTTCATTAATATTTCTACAAGGTGATGCTTTGTAAAAGAATGGTCTAGTTTGTTTCGAAATCACGATTTTATGGTATTATGTGAATACCTTAGCCAATTATTGTAATTATTGATTTTATTTATAGAATTGTTGCAATTTTCCATTACGTGTCAATAATGTTTCTACAAAGTGGTGCTTTGTAAAAGGATGGTATATTTTGTTTGGAAATTCGCGATTTTGAGCAACTCTCATGTTTTTAGGTATATGTAGATAAGGTTAAAAGGGAGCTTTTATGGTAAAATGTGTATACTTTACCCAAATATTGTAATTCTCGATAGAATTTATAGAATTGTTGCGATTCCCATTTACGTTTCTACAAGGTGATGTTTTGTAAAAGGATTGTTTAATTTGTTTCGAAACGTGCCTTTATTCAAAGAAATATTTGAGCTATCGCGAATGTCAAGTTTTCATTTCACAGCTGAAACAATACGTGATCCAATTTTTAAATTTATCATGACTTACAACTTACAATTGATGGAATTTGCAAACTGTTAACTTGATGCCATATTTACTAATGTCATTTTGTTCAATCTTAAAAGCATTCGATTTTCCCAAAGCTTAACGTCAAATCCAAATGATGGCGAATGCCCTTCTTGTAATTCCGAATTTGATTTTTGAAGTTTCAGCTACAATAGGTTCGAAGAAGTATTTTGAAATTATACTACGAGATTTCGTCAACTTCTACAGCTTATTCAGGACTTACTTCGTCGGTGTTGATTCGATGTTACTTAAAAGCGATGGTAAAATATCCGAGTCGCTTGATGAGGATTCCGAATCGCTAGAGTCTGAGTAGTCACCAAGACTCGCTATGAAGCCAAGGTTGTAGGCAACCGAACCATTTTCGTCTTTTCTTGCGCCTTTTCGCAGTTTGTGGAAAGTGTTTAGTCTCTGTATCAGAGTTTTGCATTCCGAGGTCTTTTCAAAATTTTCCTCGTTTTGTGACGATTTTTCGACAGCTGACTCTTTGATATTGAAATGTGAAATAAAAAAAAAAATATGAGAAGAGTCGAAAGAAAATTAAGTTCGGGAAAAGAAAATACTTAACATGTTCTTTTCATTCGAACTCACGTGAATGTGGATATTTTTGAAAATAACAGTTGTTCTTAACGTGAAAACTTGCACAAAATAAACGCAAAATAAAACGTCAAAGCGATGTGAATACAAAACGAAGATTACAAACCTTAACTATGTAGGCAAATATATGAAAAAGAACTTTTCGTCGGAAAGGTTGCAAGCAGAGAGGGCAACAAATAACTCATCTCCAATGGCGAATTCGGCCTCATTTCGTGTACACTCGTGTCATGAAAATGTATTATTTTATTCACTAGAAAACCGTAAAATACATATGAAACAGTATCAAATACCTTTTTTGGAGAAGTTTTGATCGTCAGATTTTTCGTCCTCGCTCGTCTCCACATCACTCCTGCATAAAGTAAGAGCGTTTGTCCGTTCACCATGTTTCCGGTAAGTTTGCTTATGAGGAACCAACCCCCTGATTTCATTAAGATTGCTTTCATTTCCGGAGGTACATCTAACTTATGAAACATGAATAGAGAAAATTGAACCTGGACAAATGATAAATCTTAATCCCTCACCTGGAGGGCATTCGGCTCCCATAAATGATAACATGTCCCCCTGCACATCTAGGGTATTTGCTGGAAACCAGGGGGGTGGCCAATTCAAAGTATCGCAAGGTATCAACATGACTTTCTAAACACGTGATCTTACCGCCGTCGTTTAATGCAGCCAGCCAATAGTTCCAACTGTGATTTCTTCTTTCCCAATAAAGCATTGGAGGCTTTCTTTTTTTCTTTTCCCACAGCAGCTGGGGTTGAGACGGCTACAGTCATATTAAACTTTGCAACTTCATCCTGGTTGTTGGCAATTAAAGAATGGATAAACTGACTGATCGAGAATAAAAAGACTGCGTAGCTTTAACAAACTGTTCCAATAAAGTGAATACACCAAATGTTATACTAAAATCCAAGGCCGATTAAACAATGTATGTGTAGTCAATTCATAATGATTTTTTAAAGTAAAATAAATTCTTAATGGGAAAAAGCATTTTTCTTTATCGATTTTGGAAATTTAGTGTATTATAAGTTAAGTGGCTACCTAGTTGAACTAAAGTTCACAGGTTAAAGTATGTATCTTTGCACTGCAATAATCAATAAAGTGCATGCATAGTTTCTTCAAAGGATACTCTGTAGTCTTTAATCTGGAGTGAGAGCAAAACGTCTCGGTCAACTTCTGCCTGTTGCTTGGAAGCAAACTCGAGAAAAGAACCGTCATTATCGATCCTTGGAACATTTTTTCTTAACAATTTTACAAGAAAAAAGTACTTTAAGTCTGCGCTTTCTTTAGTCAGGAATTTCAATCATCCGGAAATCATATGATCAACTAGGTACAGATTGCTTGATACAAAACTGAACAATATCAAGAAATGCAAATTTGAGCATTGGCACTGAACCCACTTATACAGCTGTCTACTAGTTGGAGTTATGTAACTTTAATGAACTCAAATGGACCTCTATTGTCAGTAAAAACACCAAAAATTATCAACCTCCATGGGGTGAAATAAACTAATCTTTGAATATTTTGAAATAGTGCCAAGTCCGGGAAAAATTGACAGGAGGGTGCAATGGGAGGGGTACACACCTAAAGCTTGCATAAGTTGACTCATATTTTGATAGCTCATAAATGAAAGTCTTATGGTATAATGACATTTAAAAAACACAACCCTCCCTGGATGAAATTCACCTCTCCAAGCTATTCAATGTATAAATCTATTCAGATTTCGACAACCATCAACAAGCAGGGATAGGATTGACCAAGTAAATAACTGGCTGGTAGGCAATGAAAATGCTTTTGAAAACTGAATCAAAAGTTGTTTCTTACTGATGTCATATTTCTCGTCATGCTCTTGTTGTGCCTTTTCTTTCTGGGCCTGAAGCTGTTCAAATAAACTTTTTGGTTGCACATCTGGACATTCTGGATGAAGTAAACAGTAAAAGTTGAAAACAAATGTTGATAAATTCGAGGATCTTGAGAAAATTACGTATGATTATCCACCGTTAAATATTTGAGGTTTATTCAGTTCCTGTAGACCTTAGTACATACAAGAAGAATATAAACATGTACCTAAAGGGTCATCGGGCTTTCTGACTCTTTCCCATTCCTTTTGACGTTTCTCCTTGGCGTCCTGGGCTTCCTCCTCGGTAACAAACGACTTAATTTTTGAATTATTTGTCTTTTTGAAGCTCATAATGATTATTCGTTGATTTCATTCGTTCCTTGGGATCATTTTGAAGTAGAAGAGCAGCATTTATCTGCTTTAATGTCAAAATCACTAGTCAAATTTGGTCAAAATCAATCTGCTGGTATTGTCATCCACCATACAAGCATTGAGCAAACCGCTGATTAAGATTAGCGTGGGCTCACAAACAAATGGCTGACAAGATTCTTCTTCGTGCTTATAAGGGTCAGGCAAAGTCTGTAAACTTAAGCAACAGAAATCTACCAAGTGTGCCAAATCTTATAGGTAAACTTTCGAAAGTAAAAGTATTGACCTAAAAAACAAGATTTGTTCTTTGCCCAAAGATTTTAGCGTGATTACGCAGGTAATTTATTAAACTTTGTTGCTAAGTTACATCAGACGCTTAGGTATAAAAAATGGAATACTTTTCAAAATATTTATGGAGGAATTGACTGCAGTCAAGGAAGAACCAATTATCTACACGTAGGGCATTATTGATAAAAGAAAGATTCAAAATATCCACTGCAACTTGCAGAATAAGTATATGTTTTAAACGTCATCCGGATTTTTAGTCTTATTAAATGTTTGTGGATCATGACAGACAAGAACTTTGAAGAGAGGCTAATTTTATGGCTGTTAATGATTGAGATAAATCTCTGGAAAAATATTCATATTTAAAAAATTGCTTTCTATCATCTAAACGGAGCAGGCGAAGAAAGAAGCTTGCTCTTAAATGCATGCTTTAATCAGTGTTTGATTGTATTAAATCCTGTATCTTCGCATTGTATACATATGACAATATTTCAGTCAGGAAAGAAAATTTATTTGAGTGCTTTCATAAATAGTGAGTCTGACGTTTTTCTTACGGAAAAAAAATGGAAATGTCTGCAGAATTGGGTGCATAATATGACTATACCACAAGGATGACTAAGTGCATATGAAAACATTATAAAATGTTTCTTTGCTCATTCCCTTGCTGGGATTCTCCTACACTTATGTCACCTAAACTCCATTGTAAACAAGCCCTTGAAAAGGTAGATTTGATTATTTGAAAGCAATGTTTACAAACAAGCTAAAATGCTGATGTCAGTCGACATACCGCCTCTTAAAAGAACATAATTGAGAAAGTTGAAATACTAGTGACTGACGCATTGATCGACATCACGTGATCTAATCTTCGTACCTTCCAGCTGGAGAACTTGAATCTTGGCAACAACATTTTGGAAGAGCTGCCGGCAGAATTGGGCCATTTGGTCAATCTAAAAAAACTCCATTTGTTCGCAAATCACATCATCATCCTCTCTTCCTTCGTACTGTGTAAGTGTATCCGTATCGAGACTAATTTACTCCAACTTATTAACATCATTTTCACTGCTTCAACTATGTCAAAAAAACATATAGTTCTTGTGGTTTAGATAATGTGTTAGACACTTTAATTGAAGTTAGATTTTTCATATATTGATAGCCGCCTTGCAGCATCTGACATTTCTAAACCTCAACGACAACAAATTGACAAGTTTGCCTCCGGAAATCGAAAGGTACTAGCGAGATTTGCAGATCAATGTCCAGAGAGCAAAACTTGTCAACATCTTGTCTTCTTTTCAGGCTGGTATCCCTGCAATTTTTGAGCGCGAACAAGAATAGACTGCAAAGTATCCCGGATGAGATTTGTCATCTAACCCACTTGACCGAGCTTCACCTGGCAGATAACTTCCTTGAAAGGTATTGTCTCCGTCAAAAGCAGAAGGCGTAGAGTGGCAAAAAACAGGATAAAATCGTTAAAAGTTTAAAGATAAATGGGCATTGTGAATTTCTAACAGCTCACTCGAATACATATCTGCTTTTCAGTTTACCAGAAAATATCGGATTTCTGAAAAACCTGACACGTTTGATTTTGTACAAGAATCGACTAACTGAGCTACCACAGGTAAACGCGGTTATTTATTTAAGCACGCAACAAGATACTCTATTCAAGATGATGTATTTCATGGACGTTTTTTCATTCCGTTTTTTTTAAACTATCCATTTTATAACCCTAAGGACCGTATTTTATTTCCTTGCAGGGCTTGTCAAAATGTTGTAAATTAGAATACCTCGATGTCTCTTGCAATTTCATCAAATACTTTCCGGTCAACGTGAGTGACGAGAGAGTGCAGTAATACGCATGCGTCGTAGCAAAGTTTACAAGTAGCTATTTGATTGAAGCATTGAACTCAAATACATGGAACGCAACCTCAAGCAAATAATTGAAGCCATATCTTACGCCAGAAATGCGAGATTTTACCCCAGACACGCGTGTTTAGTGTTTGATTGATTGACTTCACGCGTCTGCGGTAAAATCACGGCTTCAAAATTATTAGGATTTTATATAAGAGGTAGCTTTCCATGTATTTTAGTTCAATAAATTAAACTGACGTTTTGATGAGCGTCGACGGTTGTTGGCTGTGCCGTATAGCCAACCAGCCCGTACGTTTGTTCGTGCTATGTAAATTTCAGAACAATATGATTTATTTTTTATAATCTATTTTAATTTACTTTTTTTAAGTAAGATTACATAGCATGATGAACAAACTTGCTGGTTGCCTGCGTCACCATATGTTCTACGTTCAACCTACGTCAGTATATGTTCAACGTTCAACCTACGTCAACCATATGTTCTACGTTCTACGTAACCAACCCATGTTCCATCATCAACCATAAAGAGAGAATCCATGGTTGAAGAAAGATTGAAAACTTTCTTCTTTCTTCTAGTTTTATGCTTTGCCTTTACGAGAGCTTTATTGCGAAGGAAATAATCTATTGAAGCATCTACCCCTTCATTCTGAACAAGTTGAAGAGGTCTTGTCGCTCAAAGAGTTGACGGCGCGTTTTGTAATGAAGAAGAACAGAGATAAGTAAGCTATAAATATTCCTTCGGAGCGTACAGAGATAAGGTGTTGGGTAAAGTAATAAATTTGGTAATGCAGACAAAGTAGATACACCTCTTTAAGGCGAATTTCTTTGTAGCCAATTGTTTCGATCAAATTTTACTTCTCTCAGCCCGCAGTGACGTAGCCAGCCCATGTTTTAGTCTTGCTATGTAAGTGAATACAAAAAATTGCATAGCAGGCTAAGCAAGGTCGCTATGCCAGTGATATTCGCCATGCCGCTAACAAGCAATTTTTAAACTTTTACGGGGCAAAGTACAGATAATTTTGTTGTTCACATTTTGTCTTACCTATCGTAGACGATCCCATATTCGTGTGCAACTTCGCGAATGTCCCGAAATAAAAGATATGCTTTCCTTTGCGGGATTTGTGCCTTGTGCGGTGAATCGTTTCTTAACACATGGTTGGAATGCGTCAGTTTTATTGATTGTAAAAAGGTATTCACTAATGTTCATTGTTCATAACACCAAGTATAGATCATTTTCAAAAAGTCACCTGACTTTATGGCCGCTATGTTCGTTCATCAATTAAAAAGAATTTTAATGAAGTTCTTTGGTTTGGTACACCAATACATCACTTCATGTTGAACCCTGAGGAATGAGCAAAAATAATCTATATCGGAGTTGAAATGACATAGTTGATTTATGGACCACGCCTCTCGGCCTTGCAGTAGTTGCATTTAACGTTTGCGCATGTGCAACTTTATTTTGACAATGAGAACCTCAATTTTAGTATATGCTATTTCTGGGCTTACTCAAGTGTGATCAACTCAACAGGGTCTGGGGACAAGGAACTCACCGAATCGTACCCATCAGAGGCCAGCTGTGTTCGGTACAAGTGCTTCAATTCTGAAGGCCATGATTATTTTGGCATAGCACAAGTGGATGGTGGACAATGAATGATAGTCATGGACAATCGATGATGTATGGTAAGTATTGTGAGAAAGACAGGAACATTAAAATGAAAAAGTTCAGGAAGAACTACATGAACCATTGGAATGCTAGTTACCACTTCTATTACATTAATTACTTGAATCGCTGAAAAATTATTCAGCAGCTTTGAAGCAAATCTTATAGCTCAACATTAGCTGCCATGCAAATTTTTCCAAGTTAAATTAGTGTGGAAACAATAAATTTACTTAGTATGATCAAAACTTGCAGTCTGGCAGTGCTACCCTAGTTTAACACAAGGCACGATTCTAAATGTTTTAGATAAAATCAATATCTCCACCTAAACAGTAAACATGGAAGTTTTGAAAAGGAAGAGCACAGATTTTGTCTCAGAATATAAATAAGGAAGAGGAACTTAAGCTGAATGAAGTCATTTCAGTCAGTCCTATGGATCTTTAGGCTTTCAAGACATTATCAATGAGACATTAATATACAAATGTACGTGTATACGATGATAAGCAGTGATTTACTGTCAATAATGACCTAAAATGATCCAAGTATGTTAATAATTGAGGAACTATTTACGTCACGTAAATCTTTTCTGGAATCATCTAATTGGTGTGAACCTTATTTAAACATCAAAATATGACGCCATGTAATCCCTTCAATTACACGTGCATATACACTGTGTTTGTTTGAATTCACAGCAGTAAGGAGACCTTACAAAGGCTCTTATATTTCTGTAAATGCTTCGGTATCTTTACGACTCATTCCGTGTAATTTGCTCTCTAATTCTTTTATTTTGATGTCCTTGTCCAATAACATATCTTGTTGTTCCTTCATTTTACGACGAAGTTCGTTCTTCTCCCGTTCTGAGTCGTTCAAAATCCTTTCATAGTGGTTTTTGCACACCGTGACTTGCCCACGAAGGATGGCATCCCTTTCCGTTTCCCTTCTATCGCATATTTCTTTCAACTTGCGATACCTCTTCGTTGTGGATAACCTGCTGTAGGTCATTCAACACGACGGAGCTTACGTTTTTAACGAGTTTGGAGATACGGCGATTGTTGTTCAAGTCTTGCCTGGAATTGTCACAATTACCAGACATGTCGTTCTCATTGTTTTGATATTTCTTCAGCCTTTCCCGCATTCTTGCGGCAAGAACTCGAGCATTGTCCCTCTCATTTTCTAAACATCTCATCTGCTCTAATAAAGACATGATCAGCGATTCCGAGCTGACAAAAGACACCGCATAATTATCCATTTTCCCGATTGATTTTCGCACCCTTTATTATTATGATTTTCGGTAAATAATAGCCTGAGATTTCTTTCCATTTCTATAAATTGCAACTTCTCGTGACATAATTGTTTCTTTGTAGGGCCATCGAATAAATTATACGCATTGTTGACATTTTGAACTTCCTGCTGCTGTTATGCAAAAATATATCAAGCAACGCCAACGTATTGTTGCAAATTCAATAATGTCTATCAATATTCACATAGAAACGTTTCACATGTACCATCAGCTACTCTTATATTCAATAATCCGCAAAACATTAAAATATTGCATAAATACAAACAATTATTTGCAAAAAGAGACCGCTGGCTGAAACCGAAACAAACTTGGCGCCTTCTGCGCTGCGCCTTCGAACAAAATGTGGTCAGTGGTTTCGTCTTCTATAATTATTATGCTTCATGTAATGCTGGTTATTGTATACCGCTATACGTGTGAAGTCGTTGAAAATTATATTAGTTCAGCTTTTTCAGATTATAACGTCCGTTATTAGTTGAATACATAAATAGCCATTTTAAATTTGCCCCTTGAAAAAGCAGCTTGATAATACATTTTTCGCTCCATTTTTAAAACGTAATTGTTTGTTACTGTTGCCGTTACTGTTATTTTAATGTATACTCGGTACTCTTAAACAAGTTTGATCATGCCATGTAAATTTGATATCGTCGGCATTACTTATTTCTATAGTTTACTTTATACAGTGAGTGGACAACGGCCAAACTTGCCGGGTGACCACGCCAACTGTCATGAAATTTCTAGTGCAAAATCATTAGAAGCATTGAAATATTACAATTATAAACGGACATAATTTAGAATGCAAATACTTTGTCGTCCATTTTATATTTTTTGCTCGCGTGATCAAAAAAAATTGTTAACATTGACATTTGCACTTCGTTAATTGTAGCGGTAGATTAATTTAAGTATCAAAGCTGGATTCCCATGCAGAATGAAACTTTTCTATGTAGCTATAACATGTGAAATTAACGTTGGAAACAATCGTTGGAAAAAAAGCTATTGAAAATCCACGAAAATTGGTGACGTCACGTGAAGACGGACAAAAATTGATAAATTATTAAGATCGATGATTATGTTGGAAAATCTAATAAAGGATATCGTTAACTTGATTATACCCTCATCGTGAACACGAGACTCAAGAATTGTTCGTAGTTGATTTGAATCCATCCATTTCTGTTCGTGTCATAGTTCTGAAACGCTTGCGTGAGGTTCTAAAAAAAGTACATATAAATCGTATGATTGCCTTGTATAAGATAATCCGGAATCCAGAGCTCAAGGAAATTCATTCGAATCCGAAATCCACGAGTATCGAATCCGGAATCGACGAGTATGAAATCTGAAATCCACGCGTATGGTCCTGTAGGGAATCCGGAATCCAACAACACTATGCATTTCTTCAAATGGGGCGGATTCGCATGTATTTGCCTATTTGGCGACTTAACTGGCCGTCAATGACGTCAATTGACGGTTGGGAGTTAAAATTTGAAATATACTTAGAAACTACACCTGAATTGTTGCATGAATACTTTCACTTCCAGAGTAAAATTTTCACAGGGATTTACTAGGATTCGAATCGTAAAATCAAACAAGTAAGTGATGTATGAATGACACAAAAGTATAAGTCCGCCCTGGATTTTCTTTATCCCCCGATGATCCATTACGAGGAGAAAGTAAAACATGATATACGTATGCTTGGTTGTAAATTCACTTGATAGCCGAAGTGTACAGTACTGGCTAGCTCCGTATGTAATTGACGGGTTATTTTGCAAAACTTTGTGTATTTTTGCTTTATACACAACCAAATAATAGCAGCTTTATCTCTGACGCTTTTAATGTATGCAAATAGCTTGAGAGTTTCAATCTATAGGTTCAACAAATACTCAACAAGAGCAAGTTTGACTAACCTGGATAACAACACAACACTGAATAAAATCGTCGAATTTGATGACGCCTTGACCGCTGCGATCAAACTTTCTCAACAAAATATTGTAAAATCTGTCAGATAGACGATATCCTAAAGGAGTAAGTTTGCACATTAACTGGACAGTTTTGAACGAAAACAGCACATCAAGAAAACGTTGTTTTTCGTAATCAAGAAAATATGACAACATTGTTACTTACCAAAACTTGTTAGAGCTAAAAAAAGAAAAACTATAATGTTATTCATACCGTCAGTAAGTATTTACAACGTTCTTCATTCAAGATAAATCTTTAGTCAAATGAAAACTCTACCAAGTTATTTGGATGATCTATTTAAGTTTATCGTTTTCAGATGAAGGAAATTTAAGTTTATCGTTATCAGATGAAGGAAATTTAAGTTTATCGTTTTCAGATGAAGGAAATTTAAGTTTATCGTTTTCAGATGAAGGAAATTTAAGTTTATCGTTTCAGATGAAGGAAATTTAAGTTTATCGTTTTCAGATGAAGGAAATTTAAGTTTATCGTTTTCAGATGAAGGAAATTTAAGTTTATCATTTTCAGAGATGAAAATTTAAGTTTATCGTTTTCAGATGAAGGAAATTTAAGTTTATCGTTATCAGATGAAGGAAATTTAAGTTTATCGTTTTCAGATGAAGGAAATTTAAGTTTATCGTTTTCAGATGAAGGAAATTTAAGTTTATCGTTTTCAGATGAAGGAAACAAAGAAAAATACAAAGAAAAAGATTCAAGGATCAAAACTTGTTTACACTTGTTTCAAAAAGTCTCACCGCTTTGCAGTTCATTCCTATCAATGCTGCCGGAGTTGTCGCGATCGTAGGTTCGAAAAGTCTTCTGCCAATCAGATATGTAAGTCCAAAGACTTCCAAATTCTTGGAAATTTATCGTGCCATTGTTATCTCGATCAAACATTCCTATTGAGGCAAGTCAGAAATTAGAAACACTGTGAAATATGGCAAATAGAAGCACTTTAACATACTGGTCAGCGGTCAACATACACACATGTCCCACACATTTTGATAGTTACACTAAATTAACCTAAGGCAGCATCCTAAACTCAAAGAATTATAGACATTGAGCATTATAATATTCATTTAAGAAATAAAAGATGTTTACTGTTTGCAAGGCTTATGCAAACCGAGGAGACTGTTGGGAGAACTTGAGAGCAGATCAGTGCAAGCCAGAGAACAAAGGTCAAGGGTTGCACCTGCTCAAGGTTCTCTAAACGTCTCCGAGATTTGCATAACCCAGTGCAAACACAAAAACATCTTTTATTTCGTTTATAAAATAACAATGCAAAACAGACAAATTTTAAGCAAATGTTTTGATTTTTCCTCAAAAATTTATTCAGGATCGATTTGAAAATTCCCTTTGACTGATTGATTGTTTTGATTGATTTGATTAGTTGAGCTCTGATGTGTTTTGCCAGGCTAATGCAAACACGGCTCTAGACCAATCAGCGCATGCTTTTCATTGTGTTTACTTCATAATATATTATAATCTAAAACAAAATTAAGTGAGGGAGCTCACTAAAAGAAGTATCACAACCATACTGAAACATAAGTTTCATAGGGATGCAGTAAAACTCACCAATCATGAGCCTCACTGTTTCTGGGTTAAAAGCAGTCCATGAACCTAAAAATAGGCAGGCAATAATTAATTAGTTATAATTTATAACCTCAAAGAGTATCAAAGTCTGTAAACTAGACCAAGTGGAAAGTATGAGATTTCACAAAACCGACCTTCATTGGGTTGAATGTATTTTATATTGAAAACTTTAGTTGGACATCATTATCTCTATCCAAGCAAGGTACAATGTTGAACAGTACTATAGCTATCACTACATCAATGCTAACACTACATTGCAATAACAAGTTAGCAACTGTAACAAATGAAAGAATTTGTTACATGTTTGTAGATGTTGATTGTACAGGTTGGTGGAGTCCCAAGGACTGTTGGTGTTAATGTTGACTGACTTTTCGATAACCTTAGCAGTAGGTTAGTTGATTTTGAAAACAACTACCAAAGATGACTCTGGAGATGACTACCACAAAGGTTTTCAAAATGTCAGTCAACACCAACACCAACAGTCCTTCTCAGGACTCTACTAACCTGGACAATTGAGATATATGAAGAAATTGTAAAAAATAATATTATTACGTAAACAGGGTCGAAATTTCCTCTATATGAAAACAAAGTTTCGTTAAACTGTGTTGTTGCCTTAAAACAATTATGGTCATGACAATGAAGCATTTATATGTAACATGGAAAATTTGTTGACAGTTGAGATGAGAAATCAAGAACAGGATATTTCATTAAAAGCATGATTTGGAAATTACAAGTGGTATGTCTTGTGGTTATTTCCTCTCATAATACATCTTGTATTCAATTTCAAACGCAAACCAGCGATTATCTCTGACGTTCTTACCATTTGACAAAGCTTGTTGAAGTTCAACTGCGGATATTGAGCCGCTCCTGTCACGATCCACGCTGAAAAATACAACAAATGAAAGAAATATAACGGAGTAACTTCTTCCCCTTTCAGATTTTTCCTCACCTCTGAAAAACTCCCAAAGAAAATTTTGATCCACACCTGCAGGCTGCCTGTAGTACGCCATTTTGAAGTTTAGTGCTGAGTGTAGTGAAGGAAATATATATATAGCTTCGAGGAAATATAGCTTATCCTACACAATTAATTCATTATTTTCTAACGTGTGGATCGATACTTCGCTTCTCTTTAAAAAGTAATTGCGAAAGACGATTTTGAAAAAGAGATTTTAAGGCAGTGTTGATAGTTGGAGCATAAAATTGAGTCCAAAATGAGGGTTTTTAATAAGAATAGTTCAAGGAATTTTCTGTTCTTGGTATTTCGAATGCATAACTAGAATTAACATGGCAAAGGTTAATCCAATCATTGTTTACAATATTGGCCTTGATAAAATATGGAATATTTCTTGATAAAAGTATTTTTCTCGCTATGTTTTATGTTATCACTCATTCTATCATCCCTAGAAGTTATAAGAAGCAAACGAGAAGTAAAATACGTTTGTTTCATCAGTTATCATGCCAACTTAAAGCCTCTGGCTTCAACGGAAGTAATGAATAATAAGTAATCGAAACCTCTCGAAAAAAATAACAAGGAAATTATACCCAAGTATGTGCGGTAGCTCAAGACGTATTTATAAGACCTAAATCAAAATGCCACCAATCAGCAGATCTTTTTATGGAACATTTTTCAAAGGTAATTTTATCAGATTTCATAGGTCCCATTTCTTTCGTCCGTCACATTTTTAAGTCTTAAGTTCCATATCCAATATAAATGTTCTAAGAACATTTATATTCATAGCCTTTGCAAAGAGATAGGTTTACATAAAGGAATTCATTCTCTACTATCAAAATGTAGGATCGACACGGATAGAAACGGCTCTATTAATGGTGATGAACTTCAGAGGGCCTTGGCAAATGGTGGGTATCTACATTTGACAATTTCATAAATACAATGGTACTACTTCCTGGTTTCATTTACGAGAAGTGAAACTTTGTTTGCACTGAGAAACCTGCATTATATTCAAATATCTACTCTGAGTTTTCTTCAGGGGCTGTGGAATCCTTTGAAAGGTGCAGGTGTGCCATGCTCACTATGTGATCACGCGCAATAGATAAATTAGTCATGAAACTGCTTTATATTAATTATGTTTATTTGGTTCTCTTCTTTTAACTGCATCATTGTAAAAACTGAACATTCATGTGATAAATTTTCAAACAAGAGCAAAATTTGTGACTGTCCTTCCTATGTAAGGTACACTCACACTCCATAAACTGTAAAATGAAAACCAGACACCCATAGTTTCCCAAGCCCATGGTTATATTGTTTAGCAGTTTGATGGTGGTCATTTCTTTCTCAACAATTCACCACTCATTCTTTGATCAACATCCATGATGTTAAGATCTGTAAAGTTTCCATTGAACCGTTTTAAGGTACTTGGACTCCTTTTAATCCTGAGACCATACGACTTATGATGGGTAATGTTTATATTTATTGTTCTATTTCTCTTGTGTACATGCTTAAATTGTTGTATCTGTAGACCTGTGTCATTGTAAGTCTAGCCACAAATTTAAGTTCAAAAGAGTCAAGTAGTGTTTCACACAGGTTCTCTCAAACCTTGGTCATGTAAAGAACTGTAAGAGAATGAATTGTTCTAGACATTACCTACTACAAAAAAGTTCTACAACATTTGTGTGCGATTACTACCAACCAGACAAGATATCTATAAAGTTCTCAATTTTCAGGGATGTTTGATACAGATGGCAATGGTGTGATTGATTTCAATGAATTTGCTGGTCTTTGGCAGTATGTCTGTGACTGGCAGGAATCATTTCGCAGCTTTGACACTGATAGCTCTGGAACAATTGACAGAAATGAGTTAAAAGCAGGTCTGGTGCATACATATGTACACACACATATATTTCTACATGTTATAAATTGTTAATGGTGAATAAAAAGAGTTCTCATTACAGAAATATCAGTCTTTACATATTATAAAATCGCAGTTGAGTTACAATTTTACAACTTGTCTCATGATTGCGTTAAGCAATGACATTTACGTTTTGAAAAGAGTTTAAAATCTTCATTATACATGTATTTTTACATACTACAAAGTATATACAAGTCAAATCTTTGCTTGCAGTAAGTTAGGTTCATGATAGCAGCTACGCATGTTATGTTGGTAAAAAATAATATAATTTTTTTGATTTTTTCAGCTCTTCGAAGTTTCGGTAAGATTTTCTTTTGAGTATTTAATATTCAGTGTTTTGAGTATTTAATATTCCATTTCAATATTCAGTGATTTTGAAATGGATCTTGTATACGACTGGTCTATTTTTTGAATTTATCTGACTTGTAGGATACAATCTATCGGAGAGATTTTACGGAATACTTATCAGAAAGTTCGATAGAACTGGCAGTGGAGATATTCGCTTTGATGATTTCATTCAGTGTTGTGTTGTTCTTCAGGTAAAAAACATCAATCACAAGATGATCAAATTGTTGCTTCACGTAAATTGTTAACTATCTTACTATCTGAAAGTTGGCAGTCATTCCCAGATAAAGAAATCGGTTTTAATAATTTGCTTTCAACTTGAATTAATTACACAATCTGATTAGCACAATCACTAATTATGATGGCTAAAGAATTAAGAAAAAAGGTTCACGAAAGCCTTATTCCGATCAGTTTTGATGGCATTAAAAAAGGCATTAATGTCTCATGAATTGTTGGGCCGGCACTCCATTCCTGCACAAAAATGTCACACCATGAGCTGCATAGTAGTAGCTTGACAAGTAAAATATCTTATAAATTGTGTTTTTACCTCTAGACTTTGACCAACGCTTTCAAACAACGCGATCATAACTTCAATGGATGGATAACCGTCAGCTACGAACAATTTTTAGCAATGGTGTTTAGTTGCAAGACGAAGTAGATATATCGTCTGCAATACTGCCGAACATTGACGTACCTTATGCTATTTTATGTATTTTATATATATGCACAAGTTCACAACAAATATTTTTAACAATAGTGTTAAGTTGCAAGACGAAATAGAAATATCGTCTGCAATACTGCCGAACATTAACGTACCTTATGCTATTTTATGTAAATATATATACACAAGTTCACAACAATTATTTTTAACAATGGTGTTTAGTTGCAAGACGAAATAGATATATCATCTGCAATACTGCCGAACATTGACGTACATTATGCTATTTTATGTAAATATATATGCACAAGTTCACAACTAATATAATTACATTCTTCAATGTAAGCCTTGATTTTTTGTTACCTATAAAGATGAATTGTAGTTCTGCAACTGTGATAAGTGATCGAGCTGTTGTGACTATGTCTACTCGGGTGTCTTCAGACGTTGTGATTTAGCTTACTCAACTAAGAGTTATATGATCTGAACTTTGCCAAAAGTCGATCGCTCAGAATTGGCGTTTGAATTTAATTTTCCCACTTATTGAGCATGCAAATAAGCAAAACAACTAAAAAGTATTAAGTATTTGTAGTCGACTCTTCACTTTCCGCTTCATTCGATTATAGAAGGCCAGACATTTCTATCACAAAGTACTATAAATTGCCACTACAGTAAAACTGAAAAGGCTAAGGTTATAGAAATCAATGACTTATGCTTGTTTGGTTGTGTAAGGACTCGGATAAATGGGTATTGGAGAACCTCATCAGCTAAAAGTAAACACTGTGTACATCAAATACACGAAAAATCTGCAGCAACATGCCAAATAAAAGCAATGAGAAAATGAGCTGGGTGAGCACTCAACGGCCTAGCTCTACCAAATTTGCTCGAATATGCCCAATGTTCTTCTGCTTCGCAACATTATCGGTTGCAAATTGCATTCAACATCTGCATCTGTTTTGAATGTCACTGAATTACATTTTAGTGTTCGGTGAACTTTATACCGTATATAGGAATGCATTTAAAAATTAACATTTGTTTATTTAGGGGGTGTTTACATGAGTCCGGAATAATTTTCGATCCGGATCGAGTTCACTCCTATTTTCATTCCGGATCCAAATTAAGTTTTCTATAATCTTCTATAATCTTCTATAATCTTCTATAAGCCTTCTAAAATCTAATGAAGCGGAAAGTGAAGAGTCGACTACAAATACTTAATACTTTTTAGTTGTTTTGCTTATTTGCATGCTCAATAAGTGGGAAAATTAAATTCAAACGCCAATTCTGAGCGATCAACTTTTGGCAAAGTTCAGATCATATAACTCTTATTTGAGTAAGCTAAATCACAACGTCTGAATACAGCCGAGTAGACATAGTCACAACAGCTCGATCACTTATCACAGTTGCAGAACTACAATTCATCTTTATAGCTAACAAAAAATAAAGGCTTACATTGAAGAATGTAATTATATTTGTGATTAAACACGGATTGACATTACGTTTCGCGAATTGAGTTTCATTCTGGAATGAGATTGTGATTAATGACGAAACACGCATTCGCCATGGGTATTGTCTTCTGGGAAATTAAAGATCGTAAGCAAATAAGGCGGCTAAATGGGCTTAAATGAGTGCAAAGAAAAACAAAAATTAATAAACGCAGGAACAACAGAAAAAAAGGGTTGCTATAATGTTTATGTTTGCCATCTTCAAATTTCAAAATTTCTGCGAAAGGTCATTCTGTGTGTTGACTTCAATGTAAACACGGATTGACATCACGTTTCGATCAAGATTGAAAGTCATTGTAGATTCCTGTGAACACCCACTTACAATGCACTAATGAATTACAAAGGAAATATAGTAGCACAAAATTGCTTTCGTTAAAAATTGCTACTTTGATTGCTCATGAGCAAATGGAGGATTACTATTCGTAAGTTTATGTTTCCGTTTGCAATATACCCTGAGAACTTTGTTGAAAATGAATAAAGTGGAGGCGGTTGTGCAATTCTACAAACACATCAGAGTCGAACTCATCTACAATATCGTGTTTGAAAAGAAAATTATAGAAGAAGGCGAACTCTATAAAGAATTGAAAGGAAGAACAGGTTTAGACGACGCACATCTTTTGAAGATTATACGTTGGTCTGAGGTATCTAGTTTGTTGCGTGCTATTCCAGACATAGAAGTTGTTCTCGGTGCCATTGTCTTACTTGAAATTAATACAAACAGCGTTCTGCAGCTTATGAATGAGACATACTTAATAAAAAATCGGTTTCTAAAACTCACTGTATCGCAATATCGTGAGACAGTATTTAGGGCATGTAGTGAAATTATAAAGAAAAACAATCGTAACTTTTCTGACTTGACCAGCTGTCGTGACAAACAGACCGGAAATACGCCATTACATTTGTTGGCGTCTCTTCCAGCAATCAGTTTTAATGCCAACCTACTCAAGTATTTACTACAGTCTGGAGTAGACCCGTTTGCCGCAAATAGCGAAGGCCAAACTTTCTTGCATATCCTATTGGGAAGATATAAAACAGTAAGCAATTACGATGATTTTACCCTTATAAGAGACTGCCAACTACGAAGTGGTTTATACAAGACAACACAGCCGTTCTTCAAATTCTTGATCACATACCGCCTTCTCAAGTCTCCTTATTGACAAAAGCGCAAGATAATGAAGGCAATACCTTGATGCACGAGTTTGCCTCATCCGCCATCTTGCAGGGTGAACTTGTTGAAGGACAAGAGGTTTGCAGGAAGTTACTCGAGATCGACCATGGGCAAAGTTTAAGAATTCCCAACCATAAAGGTAATGTTCCTCTTCATTGTCCTTACGATCCTGCGATCTTTAACATACTCGTTGAATCGCAGCCGGCATGTTGTCGTGTAAGAAACGATCGAGATGAAACACCATTATTGTGCATCTTGAAAAAATCCGTTTTATTTGCGTTTGGTCGAACGCTTGTATTAAACGAACTCCGGGAAGAAGGTGATGTTGGATACAACGACTTAGTGGATAGTTCTGACCTGACCAAAGCCATTAATTTGATCCAATATCTCCTAAAAGTTCATGCCCCCAACGAAAAAATCTTCAAAAGTGTTTGGATTGCCGACCAAGATGGTAATACTGCCATTGATGTCGTCCTGATCGCCATTCGGATTGGATCTTATGATTTGAACAACACAAGCTGTCAAATGGCGGAACTTCGTTCGTCGTTGGTGACACTGTTGGATAAAATGCTTTCTCTTGCAAATCCGGAAGACGTAAGACGGAAAAACAAGCGAGGTAGAACATTCCTTCATCAACTATTGGACATCAAACAAGCTGTCGTCAAGGAGGCGTATGTACTCCAAACCGTTGGAATCCTCCTACAACACAATGTTGATGTAAATGCCGTTGACGTTCAGGGGCGTTGTGCAATGAACATGATTTGCAAAGTCTACGATAAGTCCCCAAGTTTTTTCAACAAGTGCGCCGACTTACTTATGATAAATGGGTCATTAGTCAGTGAGATTAACCATGTCTTGCCCTTTTCTTCTTCTTCCGGAAACATGACGCGAAAGTTGCGGTCATGCCCCAAGCGTCACTTAGAAGACGCCAATCGTTTAGCTCATAGAAATGGTGCGATAACAGTTGTCGACAAGTATCGTTATCTTCATCAAGAGTCTATTGGATCCGGAGCGTTCAGTAACATATTTGTCGCAATCAAAGATGAAAACGTCGACAACATATCTGGTACCATTCAGTGTCGGGCATATGCTTTGAAACGAATCGATAAAGCAAGAATTAATCCTGAAGAAATCAAACGCGAAACGACTGCATTGCTTTCTTTGTCTGGCAAATGTGAGAATATCATAAAGTATTACGATTCTCTGGAAGATACATTCTTTCAGTATCTTGTCCTTGATTTAATGGATGGTGATCTTAATGAATTCGTTGGCAACATGCAAGCCAACTCGATTCTAAGGAACGATCCAAGTCAATGTGTAGAAGTAACAAAACAGATCATCAATGGATTGGCGTTCTTGCATCACAATGGTTTCATCCATCGCGATCTCAAACCTGGAAACATCCTGTATTCAACGACCCCATCTGCATTTCAAAATTGCAGACTTTGGACTTGCTAAAGACATCTCGGCTATATCGACCATGACCTCGACACGTGGAAATGCGGTTTTAATGGTAGCTGGTAGTCGATGCTGGATGGCACCAGAATTAGTCAGCATGAAGTCATTGAAGCACACCAAACAGTCAGATATCTTTTCTTTGGGTTTGATTCTTCATTATTTGATGTCATTTGGGAAACATCCTTTTGCTACTCCAGGCGACGAACGTCCTCACGTTGTTGAAAGGAACATCGAAGAGATGAACGGCAACCTTAAAAATGATCTTCATCCCGAAGCGAAAAGTTTTCTTCTTACATTGTTGAATGTACAGCCATCGAGAAGAACACCAGCAGCGTATCTTAATCAACATCCTTTCCTCTGGAGTGACCACAAGAAGGTGGAATTTCTCAGAGCAGTTGGCGATCAACCAGAAGCTATAAAACCGGGTAACTTTTTGCTTTCGGAAATTGAACAGTGTCTACAAAAAACACGAACCGGTCAATCCTTTCAACTGAAACCATGGAGTAAAGAAATACCAATGCTGTATCAGGAAATAATTACTGCATGGAAACAGAAAAACTACAGAACAAATAATGTGATCGACCTGGTAAGATACATTCGTAATGCTTACGCGCACAAACAAGAAAGATCAATTTGGTTTCAACAAGTGCTGGACAACAGCATCTTTCTTCGAAAATTTCCACGTCTTGTTCTCGATGTGTTTGGTGTTGTACAGCGATTAGAACTTGAATCTCGAAACACCATTCATTCAGCTTTAAGTTTGTGATTGCAGAAAATTGGTAATTCGAGGAGGGTTGGAGGATAGCTGACATTCATAAATCCGTAATGACACAATCAATTTTAAGAAATTTTAAAGTAGTATTTTCTATTTTTTTACTCGAGTCTCTCATGTCAACGATTTTTTTATATTAGGATATTGTGTAATCCCCCTCATTTTCTTCCCCTCTCCATCTTCCTCCCTTCAAATAATCCCCCACTTGAAAGGTATCAAAAAGAAATAAACACACACGGGGTTGTATTTAGGAAATACGAGGTACACATGTACCATCCAAAGAACACTCATCTCTGGATGGTACATGGTATTCATGTACCATCCAGAGATGATTGTAACATCCAGTCATACAAGAATTATTCCATTATTTAATTAAGAACTATTCCATCATTAAAGAATTACATTTACGGCTTTACCACAACAGACTTATTAAACCTAATTGACGAACATGCTGCAAGTCTTTGTCCATGTCCGACTAAGACACGAAAATTTATTTTCTTACATAAAAGATCCCCTATAATTAGGATGAACTTTTTATTTGACATTGGACGTTTGTGTGATATTAGAAGATTTGTGAGTTTTTTCACATTTTCCTTGCTTGCATTTATTATTGCCAACAAAATTTATTTTTTATCTTAGAAAGTTATTACACTCCATAACAATCAAAATTTTTCATAAAACAAATACGTAACTACCAAATACAACATATTTTTAAGATATGTAAACGACTGACCACAGGTCATTTTATTCACATAGCACAAAAACTTCAATAGTTTCAGAGAACTAAGAAAGCAGACATTATTTCATGATTAATAATATACTTGAAAAAATTTCTCAGTATATTTTATGTTATCACTCATTTCTATCATCCCTAAAAGTTATAAGAAGCGAACGAGAAGTAAAATACGTTTGTTTCATCAGTTATCATGCCAACTTAAAGCCTCTGGCTTCAGCGGAAGTAATGAATAATAAGTAGTCGAAACCTCTCGAAAAAAATAATAACAAGGAAATTATACCCAAGTATGTGCGGTAGCTCAAGACGTATTTATAAGATCTAAATCCAAAATGCCACCAATCAGCAGATCATCTTTATGGAACATTTTTCAAAGGTAATTTTATCAGATTTCCATAATTTCGTAGAAGCACTATTGCTAATGCGCATTTAATATAAACGATGAGTTTTTTAAAATAGACGTGTTTCGACATCTCATGATGCCATCTTTAGTATAAGTGAAATAATAAATAAGACAAGGTTTATATAAAAGTAATATGTTACATTAATTACAACAATTATAATTAAGGAAATAAGATAAATTAATGGGAAGCGTCCGAGCGTATTATAAACTGAATATTGTATTGAATTTAAAAACTTGAACATTGAGGTCAAGGTTAGTTTTGTTAATGTGGAGTGCTTCTTTGATTTTAAGGGAGAATGAGGTGTCGGAAGTGTCGATGATTTTGAAGAAAGAGGGTGAATAGTTGGTTTTACATGAGTGAGATTTAAGAAGGTGTTGGTAGATATGAGAGTTTTTGTCTGTTGTGGTATGTTCCCTGATTCTGGTAGATAAATGGCGCGAAGTTTCGCCAATGTATCGGGAATTACTTCCCGCGCAATTGAATTCATATACCACCATTGATTTAATTGAATCAGGGATTGGGTCTTTGAATGAGAAAGGGTCTTTGATTTTGAATGATGTGAAAATTAGTCGAATCTCAATATCTGTACAGAAGCGTTTCATAATGCTCGCAGACTTACAAACATTATGAAACGCTTCTGTACAGATATTGACATTCGACTAATTTTCAAATCATTCAAAATCGAAACTTCGCGCCATTTATCTACCAGAGTCGGGAACATACCAACAGAAAAAACTCATATCTACCAACACCTTCTTAATCTCACTAATGTAAGCAACTATTCACCCTCTTGCTTCAAAATCATCCACACTACACCTCAATCTCTAAAATCAAAGCCTCCGATTAACAAAACTAACCCTGAATGCTCAAGTTGTTAAATTCAATACATATAGTTTATAATATCTCGGACTATTCCACTAATTTATCTTATTTCTTTATTATTGTTGTAATTTATGTATCATATTACTTTTATATAAACCTTGTATTATTTATTATTTCACCTATACTGAAGATGGCATCATGAGATGTCGAAACATGTCTATTTTAAAAATACTCGTCGTGTATATTAAATGCGCTTTATCAGATTTCATAGGTCACATTTCTTTCGTCCGTCACATTTTTTAACTCTTAAGTTCTAAGCTCCATATCCAACGTAAATGTTCTAAGAACATTTATATTCATCGTTTGTTGCAAAGAGATAGGTTTACAAAGAGGAATTCATTCTCTACTATCAAAAATGTAGGATCGACACGGATAGAAACGGCTCTATCAATGGCGATGAACTTCAAAGCGCCTTGGCAAATGGTGGGTATCTACAATTTGACAATTTCATAAGTACAATGGTACTACTTCCTGGTTTCATTTACGAGAAGTGGAACCTTGGTTGCACTGAGAAACCTGCATTATATTGAAATATCTACTCTGAATTTTATTCAGGGGCTGTGAAATAATTTGAAAGTTTCAGGTGTGTCAGGCTCACTATGTGATCACGCGCAATAGATAAATTAGTAATGAAACTGCTTTATATTAATTATTTTTATTCGGTTTTCTTCTTTTAACTGCATCATTGTAAAAACTGAGCATTCATGTGATAAATTTTCAAACAAGAGCAAAATTTGTGACTGTCCTTCCTAGGTAAGGTACACCCACACTCCATAAACTGTAAAATGACAACCAGACACACATAGTTTCCCAAGCCCATGGTTATATTGTTCAGCAGTTTGATGGTGGTCATTTCTTTTTCAACAATTCAACTCTCATTCTTCGATCAACATCCATGATGTTAAGATCTGTAAAGTTTTTATTGAACCGTTTTAAGGTACTTGGAATCCTTTTAATCCTGAGACCATACGACTTATGATGGGTAATGTTTATTTTTATTGTTCTATTTCTCTTGTGTACATGCTTAAATTGTTGTATCTGTAGACTTGTGTCATTGTATGTGTAGCCACAAATTTAAGTTCAAAAGAGTCAAGTAATTTTTCACACAAGTTCTCTCAAACCTTGGTCATGTAGGGAACTGTAAGAGAATAAATTGCTCTAGACATTACCTACTACAAAAAAGTTCTACAACATTTGTGTGCGATTACTACCAACCAGACAAGATATCTATAAAGTTCTCCATTTTCAGGGATGTTTGATACAGATGGCAACGGTATGATTACTTTCAATGAATTTGCTGATCTTTGGAAGTATGTCCATGACTGGCAGAAATCATTTCGCAGCTTTGACACCGTTAGCTCTGGAACAATTGACAGATATGAGTTGAAAGCAGGTCTGGTGTATACATATGTACACACACATATATTTCTGCATGTTATGACTTGTTAATGGTGAATTAGAAGAGTTTAATTTACAGAAATATCAGTCTATACATATTATAAAATCGCAGTTGAGTTTTAAAACTTGTATGATGATTGCGTTAAGCAATGACATCTTACGTTTTGAAAAGAGTTTAAAATCTTCATAATTCATGTACTTTTACATACTACGAAGTATATACATGTCAAATCTTTGCTTGCAGTAAGTTAGGTTCATGATAACAGCTACGCATGTTCGGGAGGAAATTTTAATAGGCTGTGCTAAACTGATGATGAATACAGTGTACGAAGATCTGAGCAAATGTATGGATAAACTGGGGAACACTCCACTTCACCTGTTGATGACCTTGCCAGGAATCAAATTCGATTATGATTTGCTTGAAAATCTATTTAACGCTGGTGTCAAACCATTTGCTACTAATACAAACGGTGAAACCTTTTTGCACGTTCTCTTTGGCGAATGCGACTTTGAAAGCGTCGGTCATAATTTCTTTGGTCGAACACAGCGACCGAATACGTGCTGGTTCAAACAAGATCGAAGGACTGTTCTTCACTTTGTAACCGATAAATTATCCGATGCCGAAGCTACTTTTTTGCTCAAAATTCAAGATAAAAAAAATACGTTATTGCACAATTTTGCTTTATCTGCTGATGTCCAGAAAAAATGGGCGATTGAATCGACGAATTGCCGTTTGTTGATGGAATTTGACGGCAAGCAAACTTTAAGGGTTCCTAACAACAAGGGGAATGTTCCCCTTCACTACGCGTGCAATCCAAGCATATTTTATATTTTTGCGGAGACACAGAAAGCAAATTGTTTCAAAAGAAACGATCGAGGCGAAACCCCAGTTCTGCACATCCTGAAAATATCAGTTGCCCTTGCTCTTAACAAAACGGATGGATTTAATGAATTGCAACAAGAAGGATTCGTTAAATACACAAACAGACACAATATCGCCACAGCAGTCAAGCTCTTAAAAAACCTGAATGTGATTATCACTGACAACAAGGAAGCCATGGAAGCAGTTTGGACTCCCGATGCCAAAGGTTATATTGCTGTTGGCATAATATTGATTGCCATCCGAATAGCATCATATTGTAGAGATTCAAGCATGTCGGATGTCTTCATGACCTTGAAGGAGTTATTGTACGTTATTCTCTCTAATGCAAGTCAACAAGATTATCAAAGAAAAAATAGTCGTTGTTTCTTTCATCTTCTGTTGGACATCAAAAAGGATGTTATCAAGGAAGACTACATCATTAAGGTGATTGAAATTCTTCGACAACACAAAGTGGAAATTAACATTAATGGTGATGGTGATAGATGCAGTGTAAAAGATAGAATTCAAGAGTTTAAAGAAACCTTGCCAACTCTTTACAAAAAATGGGTTGATTTATCTCTGTTCGAATTGCGAAAATTGAGATCGTCATGTCCAGCCCGTCATGCCGACAGTGCTAATCGTTTGGTGAACGGAAACGGTCCAATCTCTGCCGTAGAGAAATATCGTTATTTTCATCCGGAGCGTTCAGTAACATATTTGTCGCAATCAAAGATGAAAACGTCGACAACATATCTGGTAGCATTCAGTGTCGGGCATATGCTTTGAAACGAATCGACAAAGCAAGGATTAATCCTGAAGAAATCAAACGCGAAACGACTGCATTGCTTTCTTTGTCTGGCAAACATGAAAATATCATCAATTATCATGATTCTCTGGAAGATACGCTCTTTCAGTACCTCGTCCTCGATTTAATGAATGGTGATCTTAATGAATTTGTTGGCAATATGAAAGCCAACTCGGTTTTAAGGAACGATCCAAGTCAATGTGTAGAAGTAACAAAACAGATCATCAATGGACTGGCGTTCTTGCATGACCACGATTTCATTCATCTCGATATCAAACCGGGAAACATCCTGTATACAACGGATCCCCACCTGTATTTCAAGATTGCAGACTTTGGACTTGCTAAAGATATCTCAGCTTTATCCACCATGATTTTGACACGTGGTAGTGCAGTTGCTTTAGTAGCTGGTAGTCGTTGCTGGATGGCACCAGAATTAGTCAGCATGAAGTCGTTGAAGCACACCAATCTGATATCTTTTCATTGGGTTTAGTTCTTCATTATCTGCTGTTATTTGGGATGCATCCTTTTTCTGCCCCTGGTGATGAACGTCCTCACGTTATCGAAAGAAACATTGAAGAAAAAGAGTCATCGCATGAAGAAAAATTGCATTCCGAAATTAGCAATTTTTTTTATTTCACATTTCTGAAAGATCCATCTAGACGACCACCTGTTAGGTATCTTAAACAACTTCCTTTTCTTTGGAGCACCCACGAAAAGAATGAATTCTTGAAAACAGTTGGAGCCGAACCAGAAGCGGTTAACCCGGCAAAGTTTCCAAATTCACTTCTTGAGGTAGAGCTGCAGAGGAGTCAAATAGGACGTAGTTTCTAGCTGAACCTTGGAATAAAAGAATAAAAAAACTTTACCAAGAAATGGTGAACTCGTGGAGGAAGAATTACCGAACGGATAATGTGATCGACCTCATCAGGTTCATTCGTAATGCTTATGCGCACAAACAGGAAAAGACAACTTCATTTCAACAACAGTTAGATAATAACATATTTCTTCACAAGTTCCCACGTCTTATTCTCGATGTGTTTTACGTAATAGAAAGTTTGGGATTTAAATCTCGAAAAAGTATCGAAACAGTTTTAATGTCATGATGTAATTAGAGAGCTCGTTATTTTTAAGGTAGGAAAAAGCTGTCTAGCCTAAAACAGAGAGAAACTACGCAGTAAAGAGTGGATTGAATAAAGTAACTCTCAAAGTATTGCTCACTCATGGTGAACTTTACAATGTTCAAAATACATAAGAAGAAAAATAATTTTTTGACAACATATTGTTCACTAATTTAGAAATGCCACTGTTATGACGAAGTAATGAAGACCATTTTAGGGAGCGATTACATGAAGCAATATCAGCCCGAGCTGATTGGCCGGGTTGAAATTTGTGCGATTTTATGGTCAATTTCAGCCCGGTGCTTAGGCCGGTCTGAAATTTACGAAGATCGTGCGAGGCATGATCGCCAGTTGTCGTTAATTTGTTGTCATTTTATTGTCGTCATCATAAAAAATAGGTGCGCAATTACGTATGCGTGAATATTTTCAGCTGTGGTTTCAGCTTGGGCTGAAACGATTACATGGCAAATTTTTCAACCCGGACTGAAATTTCATCCCCGGGAGGCTCAAGCTGAGCTGAAATTCAAGCTCGGGTTAGAATTGTTCTCATGTAAATGCGTACGCTATTTTGATAGGATATTATAACAGGCCCGGGCTGAAATTGCTCCATGTAATCAGCCCTTAATTATTCAATTTTAGACAATATATACCCGCAGTAAAAACATAGGAAGAGCAGACCAGATTAAATCCAGAATTTCAGCTGTATTTACAACATAAATGCAGCCGCCTATAATGTAGATTTTCTTTGTTCAATAGGTTCAATCTCTTATATTTAAGACTTAGTTTTTTTCACCAACCCATTGTTAAGACGATCAACTTTTAAAAAATTAATCCATTGCTTTCGTTAATTCACTACTGGGTTTGCTCAAGTTTGCAATTCATTGCATGATTTCGTTAATCGCAGAAATGATGAAGAATTTATTGGAAAGAATTTCACCGCCACACCACAATGCTATAGCTACAGGAAAAGTATCAGGTCTGCTATTACACCAAATTGGTAGTTTTGCTAATACGTGAACCACACAAAATTTCCTTATATGCGTGTATTGTCTCTTCTTTCAGGTTGATGTTAAGACGCTCTTGACTATAAACGTGGCGGATATTAATGAAATTGGAAACAAAGGGTTGCTACAGGTAATACGCAAGATATCTTTCTTCCGGTTTTACTCCTAACTTGTTTTGTGTTGTCACGCCTTTTACTGTAGATTCGCCTAAATCTTCAACCGACTTCACGACTACTCCCCACTCTCCGAAATCACCGTCCTACGTCAATGCTTCAACTTCTCAAAAAGCTTTTTCCTTATCTTCCGCTCCTCCAAGCAAACCTCATTCAAAACAAAAAGCAAACTCGCTTCCGAAAATTGGTCGAGCCTCCGTTATTTCTACTTCCCAAGATACATCCTCGAACGCAAAGATCGATTCTGGTGGTCCAGGTGTGGAAAATTGCAAGTTAAAAGTTATCGTAATTCCTTTTATAGACGTCTAGTTTATTAGCCTTTAAAGGAAATTTGGTGCGGCTTGTGTTGGAGGGAAGCGTGTATTGAAGCAAGGGTTATAAAGGAGGGAGGTGTCTATTTTACAAAGGAGAGTATAAAGAAATCAATAAACAACAAAATAAACAAATTGATGGTAATAACTTTCCATTAAAAAAATTAAACATTACAAAGAAAAACGTTTACTTCAACTTCAAATTTAAACTAAAATCAGGACATTAGGACTATGTAGGAATTCAACTTCTTATCCTCTGTAGTAATATGTACGATCGCCAAACCATTTCGGTTACATAGTTTCAGCTATATACAATTCACCGAACCATTAATTCGTTACTTAACTGGACCAACTTTGCTATTCAATTATGATTTCGTTTATCACAGAAATGACGAAGGACTTATTGGAAAGGCTTTCACTGCAACAGTACACGGCCATACTGGAAGAGGTCTACTATTTCACATAATTTTTTTCAATTTCTCTAACGCGTGAACAACCAGGATTTTCGGCGAGTTCAACGTAACATACGAAAAGTCTCTTCTCCTTTAAGGTTGATGTTAAGACGTTCTTGACGCTAAACGTGTCGGATCTTAACGAAATTGGAATAAAAAAACAAGAGGAACAAGAACAGATTTTAGCTGCAGTGCAGTTACTAAAAGGCCAACTAAGGGTAAATGTAGTATATTTGACACATTTTCCTACCCGTAAGATTTCAAAAAGAAGTCTTTTTCTGGTCTGTTCTATAAACGATTCTCTGTGCTTTCGATGACACGGGAGAGTCCTTTCTTGCAGTTATATTCCTAACTTAAACGGTCTTGCTTCCTCCTTTCCTTTGCTGTAGATTTTCCATACCTTACTTCATAATGTATACAAATTGTTGGGAATCGTCTCCATAGTTTCTCCCCGCACTTCACTGAATTTAAGCACACTGGAATTATAGAGTTTTTTGATTAATATTTCCGTATCACATTCTCAGACAATCCCAATGTTGCAAGTATTTTTCATTCTTGATTTTAATATCACACCCTTTTTACTCACTATAGGCTAGTTCAAGTGTTTGTCTCAAGTATTTGTCATAAAGACTTTTATCAAATATATGTACCTTAATGCTAGTCTCTGACACAAATTTTCTACTTAACACCTGCAGGAAGGAGGATCGAATGCGTTAAAAACAGAAGCTTCAGTATCGTGAAACCGTAGATGGTATTTTTCAACGAATGGTTCTCCCAGGTTTGAAAAAACACAGAATATGTCTTTGCGGACGAGTTGAGGTGAAATGCAAGCTTAGAGTTTTTGATATTTCTCTGTTTGCGACACAGTATCACTTATATTTTTTTTGAAGCTGTCTCGAATTTTTCTAATTTATGCTTAACCGTCTCCATATTTCGTCATTTGCAAAACAAAATTCCTTTTACATTGCACAATAAAGATAACGATGAAAATCATCATAATGTCAAATAGTTTGAGTAAGGTCATAATTATCCATCAATTGAAATTGGGGCGTGAAATACAACCTTGCCAGATCTTGTTTTGAGATTATATTTGCAACAAAAATATGACTTATGAAGACATTGAAAAAATACACAATATTTTGAATAATTTATTTTCATTGTAAATAATAAAACACTCATATATCATTCGATAAATCTAAATCAACAAACGTTTGGAAAACGTTTTCAATTAGAAAATCGTTGGGAGCGTAAACCTGGTAGTTGACAGGTTGCTGATTAAAGGGCGTTTAGCCAGAGGTTCTGTGTTATCTTTATAGAAAATACTTGTCCCACTCAGCTTTATTTGAAGAAAAATAATCGATCTGTACTTAGACTCGAAGATTTATTGTGCCATGCAAGTTCAGATGCTTATAATAAATTCAATAACAGGTCTGAATTGAAGACTCTTTGTGTAACTTCTAAGTAATCAATCGGGTGCGCTGTTTATTTAAAGTGCATATCTCACAATTTTTTTATAGCACTTTCGTATTGCTTCTTCGAAAGTAATCTGAAACTGGTATTACAATTTTTTCATGCGCTGCGTTGTTTTCGAATTATTATTGATCAAATATGAAATTTGACAGTAAAAGTTGATAATTGGCATAGGGCCTGGATCAAGTCTCTGTGACGTGACTTAAGGAACAAGTCAAGGGCTTGTTATCAACAATTAGATGGCGGAGTTGAATTCTGATTCGGAAAGCTCTCATAGTTCGCAATGTGATCCGGAGTATGATTATATTCCCGGTTATGTCATCGAAGATGAATATAATATAATACAATATAATACAATAGATGAAAATCACGGAAAGTCCGAGTCCTATCTTTACGCTGATGAACCAATGGCCGAACAAGCATGGTATGAAGACTACGTGGAAAAGTCAAATGAACATAAAAAGCAACTTTAAATGCTACAAAAAAGACTTGATCACACAGTTGAGTTGAGTTCTTGGTGAGTAATAAAATTTCTAATTTCAATTCAACTTATGAAATGTATTTCAATTCAGGTTTCTAGTTATGAAATATATACATAAGCGTGCAATTTTCCATTCGAGATTTCCCTCGCTTTTTTATTTACTTTTGGGCTAAAAATTGTTAAAAGATGCTCGATTACAGTTTTTTAATGTGATTTTCTTTATTGATCAGGTGCAAGTGTGGTTTTTATCAAGTTACACTTTTTCAGAATCCTCTAGAGGCCTGGTGCTGCCAAGAACTTAAGTCTGTAGCTGAAAGCTTAACACACCAGTCGGTTCTGGCAGATCTGTCAACTATTCCATGTTGTGTCACTATACACCCAGGTTTCAGACCAGTTTGTTTGGAAAAGTGGTCGCTAAAAATGGCTGCTAGGAAATATAAAACCAGAGAACAAAGACGATACAGAGAAACAGGATCTGAAAACATGTATTATAACATACTATGTTATTTCCCAGTATTTAAGTATATTTTAGTGTTATGACACATTAGTAACAATTTGGCTTTATATTCAGGTTTTTACGATGTGTTGCGTACAGAGAATTCACATCTATGATTTATGGATGCTTAAGAGAAGAAAGAAGACCATTACCAGCATGTACATACCATGCAATAAGATTAAAATTTAATGATAAAAAGTTGGAATTTAGAGGGTACGAAGAAAACGAAATAAATGAGTAATATGAAAATTAAGTTTTCCTATTTTTTGGGCAATCTGCCACATGTTTGTGACCTTTCATTGGCTTCTTGCATGTAAAACTTTTCGGCTGACTTGTTTCTTTTGAAACTGCCACTTTTGACTGACAGCTGAATGGCACACTGGTAGCTGCTGGCATGAAACAAAAACATTTTTATTATTTAAAATGATTTTCAAGCCATGTTTAGCTACAACATGTTATATAATTGTTATTAATTACCTGGAATTGAGGGGGGGACATCATTGACCACAATGCATTTTCGACCGACCTGTTTTAGTAGCACCTCAGATCTGGGTTGCTTTTGCAGCATGACATTCATTGGTGGTGGGGACATTACTTTTAAAAGATTTTGCGAATTTGATAATGAATCTTTGTCTTTTATTGATAGCATCACACTCTCAAATAATTCATCCACATACTCTAAAAAGAAATTATTGTCATATTTGATACTACGAAATGATGCAAAGCAACACATTTAGCAGCAACTTACCAAATTTGGGCTTAACTCTGACATCCCTCACAGTGCCTTCACCATTTTTAAACTTTGGATACACCACATTTATTTGGGAAGTGCCATCATTCTTTGTTGTTGAAGTGGATGGATGCCAAAATGTGTCTAAAACAATAGACTTGTGGAAGTTGCAAAAGAACTAACATTGTCATATTGGAAATATCCTACCTGGAATACATTCCAACCTAGGAATAATGAATCATTTTTGGAGCAAAATGATTCAGGACAAAATGGAATCCTTCCAAACAACTTGTTTGAGCAACTGGTGAAGCCTGGTGAATTGACTTCATCAGCTGTGGGTTTAACAATTTAGCACAAAGCTTTTCATGAGCAACTGAACCTTAAACATTACAACAAAAAATGATGATAAACTGTTAGGGGAGTTATCTTTAAATAATGCCTTCACAAACCTTCTAACAAATATTCCCTTGGTTTAATATCAGGGCCATGAAAACAACTTGAAAACAGTGGATTATCCAAATTGGTGTGCTTGTCTACTATGTGACTCAGGAAAGATTTGAATTTTGCCCAAATTACTTTGCCATCACCATCATAAGTAAAACAAACAAACAGCCGAGTACTTAGTCGGTGTCCATTAAGCGCGTTTTCTTGCAATAATATTCACCCAGATTTTACGTCTTCGCTTCGCTTCATTTTACGCTCATCACCGTAAATTGGTATACGGTGAAGAGAAATTCCTTCCGCAGAATTTGTTCGGTTTGAACAGTAGAAAACTGCACATCTATCAGGCATTTTGATGCAGAGCCATAGTAGATTAAGTAGAAATTATAGCAAAAATCACACTTCACAAAACTTCCTGTCCTTATGTACGTCACATACTTCTCGATTCAGGCTCTCATCAAGCAAATTGAACGCGCAGCAATTTTTCTACATTATTGCCCATTTTGAGAAAAGAAACGCATTTATCTCATAAACGAAGCCATCAATCAGAAAACTGTAAAATAACATTTACAATGATTTTTTTATCTCAATCAGAAAATTAAAAAAAAACTGTGAGATAAGCACTTTAACTTGTTTCAGTGCTGCCAGTTGTATGGGAAATCCCCTTCAACATTTAGGGGAAATCTCTTACAGTAGAGGGATTTAGTGGTTTGTAGGTGGAAGGGGAAACCTACGGGAAAAACTGTAAAATGGGAGAATGTAGGGGAAAGGAAAATCGTTTAAAATGAGAATGTCTATTCTCAAAATACTTTTCTTCCCGTGTTCTCACCATAGAACAAGTGACTGTAACAGAATCTTTTTTTGGCACATTTTGTGACCATATATGGCATTAGAAGATTAGCAATTTAGTATAAACTTTAACCTATGATTTAACTCAGTGTGTCATTTCCGTCATTTGCATATCATTTTCTCCTACACCAAATTACTATCTTCGTCGTTCAGATGTTCTTAGTTAGTTTTCTATATAAACTTTTTTGTATTCATTTTTTAAAACAGAATAAAAAATTCTGTGGCCCTACCCGACGTAGATATAAAATAGGGGAATATGTTGTTGTGTAGGGGTAAAGTAGGAGAAAACAAGGAAAATGGTTAGGGGAGGTAGGGGGAAAATAAAGTTTTTGTAGGTGAAATGTGCATACACAGAGTGGCAGCACTGACTTGTTCTGAATTCTCATGAATGCCACAACGACATGAAAATTTGATGAAAACTTTTCTGAAATCAGTAATTTCTACGTGTTTGTTCTTTGGAACTACTTTAATTGGTCACTATAATGGATAAACAAGTTTCTGTGAGGAATTTCCTCGTAGAGATTATGTCTCAACTGGTTTATAACATCGTCAACAAAGCAGACGATTTTGTAAACTATTCCGATTTATGTCATAGATTTAAGCAAAAAACAGGTTTTGAAATGGAGGAATTTTTAGACCTCTATGGCAATGATGTCAGTGAAGATGATTTGATGGACGTTATACGCGATATTCCTGGCTTAAAATTTGATGAGGATGATGACATATATGTCGTAGACGATGGAAGTTCTTCTTGTTCACATAGCAAGAAATTATCGCAACATCGGGGGAAAATTTTGATTAGCTGTGCTAAATTATTGATTTATAAAGACGAGACGGACGATATAAATGAATGTTTTGATGAATCGAGGAACACTGCTCTTCATATCTTAATGACATTGCCAGGAATTAGTGATGATCGTAATTTGCTCGAAAATCTATTCAAGGCTGGGGTCAATCCACTTGCTGTTAATGAAAAGGGTAAAACCTTTTTGCATGTTATTTTTGGTGAATGCTACTATAAAAGCATTGGCCATATTTTCTATAATATTCCCAAACGAGCGTACGCAAAATTGTTTGACAAAGATCGAGAAGCTGTCCTTGAATTTGTTACCGATGAATTATCTACTGCCGACATGGCGTCTTTATGTAAAATGCAAGATGAAAAGGGTAATACGGTGTTGCATTATTTTGCTTTATCAACTTCCTTTGAGATTTTATCAGCTATTGAATCGACGACTTGCCGTATGTTGATGGAACTTGACGGAAAGCAATGTTTAAGGATTCCAAACAGACTCGGGAATATTCCCCTTCATTACGCGTTCAATCCAAGCATATTTAGTATTTTTGCAGAGACACAGAATGCAAACTATATAGCAAGAAATGATGATGGCGAAACTCCAGTATTTTACATTCTGAAAACATCAGTTTCCCTTGCGTTTGCCCAAACGGATGGATTTAGGGAATTACAACTTGAAGGACTCGTTGGGTACTCATACACACGCGATATTACTACAGCAAACAAGCTGTTACAAAACCTGGAAAATATAATCACCGTCAACAACGAAGCCATGAAAACTGTCTGGAGTCCCGATAACGAAGATAACGTTGCCATTGATATAATATTGATTGCCATCCGAATAGCATCATATTGTATGAGATTAAACATGTCAGATGTTTACGTGACTTTGACCGACATACTGCACGTTATTTTGTCCAATGCAAGTAAAAAAGATCTTCAAAGAAAAAACATTCGTGGACATAGTTTCTTTCATCTTCTCCTAGACATCAAAAAGAATGTTATCAAGGAAAGTTACATTATTCAGGCGATTGATATTCTGCGACAGTACAACGTCGATTATGATGGGGATGGATGTAGTGTAAAAGATAAAATTAACGGGTTTAAAGAAACATCGCCAACACTTTACAAAAAGTGTGTTGAGCTATTCTCGAAGATCGATGCTTCAAATGACAACAACGACTCACCTTTAGCCAAATGGCGAAAGTTACGATCATGTCCACCACGTCATACTCTCAGTGCTAACCGTTTGATGAATGAAAACGGTCCAACGATAACCGTTGTAGGCAAGTTTCGTTATCTTCATAATGAGCCCATTGGATTCGGAGCATTCAGTAACATATTTGTCGCAATCAAAGATGAAAACGTCGACAACATAGCTGGTACCATTCAGTGTAGGGCATATGCTTTGAAACGAATCGATAAAGCAAGGATTAATCCTGAAGAAATCAAACGCGAAACGACTGCATTGCTTTCTTTGTCTGGCAAATGTGAGAATATCATTAAGTATCACGATTCTCTGGAAGATACATTCTTTCAGTATCTTGTCCTTGATTTAATGGATGGTGATCTTAATGAATTCGTTGGCAACATAGAAGCCAACTCGGTTCTAAGGAACGATCCAAGTCAATGTGTAGAAGTAATTAAACAGATCATCAGTGGATTGGCATTCCTGCATCACAATGGTTTCATCCATCGCGATCTCAAACCTGGAAACATCCTGTATTCAACGGAGCATCATCTGCATTTCAAAATTGCAGACTTTGGACTTGCTAAAGATATCTCGGCTTTATCGACCATGACCTCGACACGTGGAAATGCGGTTTTAATGGTAGCTGGTAGTCGATGCTGGATGGCACCAGAATTAGTCAGCATGAAGTCATTGAAGCACACCAAACAGTCAGATATCTTTTCTTTGGGTTTGATTCTTCATTATTTGATGTCATTTGGGAAACATCCTTTTGCTACTCCAGGCGACGAACGTCCTCACGTTGTTGAAAGGAACATCGAAGAGATGAACGGCAACCTTAAAAATGATCTTCATCCCGAAGCGAAAAGTTTTCTTGGGGCATTGTTGAATGTACAGCCATCGAGAAGAACACCAGCAGCGTATCTCAATCAACATCCTTTCCTCTGGAGTGACCACAAGAAGATGGAATTTCTCAGAGCAGTTGGCGATCAACCAGAAGCTATAAAACCGGGTAACTTTTTGCTTTCGGAAATTGAACAGTGTCTACAAAAAACACGAACCGGTCAATCCTTTCAACTGAAACCATGGAGTAAAGAAATACCAATGCTGTATCAGGAAATAATTACTGCATGGAAACAGAAAAACTACAGAACAAATAATGTGATCGATCTGGTAAGATTCATTCGTAATGCTTACGCGCACAAACAAGAAAGATCAATGTGGTTTCAACAAGTGCTGGACAACAGCATCTTTCTTCGAAAATTTCCACGTCTTGTTCTCGATGTGTTTGGTGTTGTACAACGATTAGAACTTGAATCTCGAAACACCATTCATTCAGCCTTAAGCTTGTGATTGCAGAAAATTGGTAATTCGGGGAGGAGGGGGGAATAGCTGACATTCATAAATCAATTTTAAGAGAAATTTTAAAGTAGTATTTTCTATTTTTTGCTCGAGCTTCTCATGTCAACGATTTTTTTATATTAGGACATTGTGTAATCCCCCTCATTTTCTTCCCCTCTCTATCTTCCTCCCCTACAAATAACCCCCCACTTGAAAGGTATCAAAAAGAAATAAACACACACGGGGTTGTATTTAGGAAATACGAGGTACACATGTATCATCCAAAGATTAAACATCTCTGGATGGTACAGGATATCCATGTACCATTCAGAGATGATTGCAACATCCAGTCATACAAGAATTATTCCATTATTTAATTAAGAACTATTCCATCATTAAAGAATTACATTTACAGTTTTGCCACAACAAACCTTTTAAACCTAATTGACGAACATGCTGCATGTCTTTGTCCATACTACTTGCCTGTCTTTCCACCGTTTGTGGTCGGAGAAAGTCCTACAGCTGTAGCTAGTAGATGGAACGAATGGCAAGAGTGCTTTGAAAATTATCGGGCAGCCATGGACATCAAAGACGCAACAAGAAAGCGAGCTATGTTACTTCATTTTGTAGGGAACGATATCTATCAAATCTTTCACAAGCTTGAGAATACAGAAGAAGCAAAGGAGTACGACACGGCAAAAGCTAAACTAACAGAACATTTCAAGCCACAACAAAACGTCGAATACGAACGCTATAAATTTCGTCGTACTCAACAAAACGCTAATGAAACGTTAGATCAGTATTACACTCGATTAAAACAGCTTGCAACTACGTGCAGCTTTGCCTACGCCCCCGTTGAAATCAAATCCAATAAGCACACGCTTTTCATTGTGTTCATTTCATAATATATTATGATGTAAAGACGTAATTCGGGTGAGTAAAAGTATCACAACCATACTGAAAACATAAGTTTCATAGGGATGCAGTAAAAACTCACCAATCATGAGCTTCACTGTTTCTGGGTTAAAAGCAGTCCATGAACCTAAAAATTAGGCAGGCAATAATTAATTAGGCTATAATTTATAACCTCAAAGAGTATCAAAGTCTGTAAACTAGACCAAGAGGAAAATATGAGACTTCACAAAACACGACCTTCATTGGGTTGAATGCATTTTTATATTGATAACTTTAGTTGGACATCCACTATCTCTATCCAAGCAGGGTACAGTGTTGAACTGTACTATGGCTATCACTACATCAATGCTAACTAACATTACATTGCAATAGCAAGTTAGCAACTGCAACCAATGAAAGAATTTGTTGCATGTTTGTAGATGTTGTTTGTACAGGTTGATTGTACAGATGTTGTACAGGTTAGTGGAGTCCCAAGAAGGACTGTTGGTGTTAATGTTGACTGACTTTTCGATAACCTTAGCGGTTATTTGAATTAGAAAACAACTACCATAGATGACTCTGGAGATGACTACCACAGAGGTTGTCAAAATGTCAAACAACACCAACACCAACAGTCATTCTCGGGACTCTACTAACCTGGACAATTGAGATTTATGAAGAAATTGTAACAAATAATATAATAACGTAAACAGGGTCTAAAGTTTCTCTATATGAAAACAAAGTTTGGTTAAACTGTGTCGTTGCCTTACAAACAATTATGGTCATGACAATGAAGCATTTATACGTAACATGGAAGATTTGTTGACAGTTGAGATGAAAAATCAAGAACAGGATATTGCATTAAAAGCATGATTCGGAAATTACAAGTGGTATGTTTGGTGGGTATTTCCTCTCATACATCTTGTATTCAATTTTAAAGGCAAACCATCGATTATCTCTTACGGTCTTACCATTTGACAAAGTTTGTTGAAGTTCAACTGCGGATATTGAGCCGCTCCTGTCGCGATCCACGCTGAAAAATACAACAAATGAAAGAAATATGGAAATAGAAATGTAAGTTCTTCCCCTTGCGGATTTTCCTCACCTCTGAAAAACCCCCAAAAGAAAATTTTGATCCACACCTGCAGGCTGCCTGTAGTACGCCATTTTGAAGTTTAGTGCTCGGTGTAGTGAAGGAAATATAGCTTCCGAGGAAATATAGCTTATCCTACACAATTAATTAGTTATTTTCTAACGTGTGGATCGGTACTTCGCTTCTCTTTAAAAAATAATTGCGAAAGACGATTTTGAAAAGAAGATTTTAAGGCGGTGTTGATAGTTGGAGCATAAAATTGAATCCAAAATCAGGGTTTTTAAGAATAGTAAGGAATTTTCTGTTCTTGGTATTTCGAATGCATGACTAGAATTAACATGGCAGGGGTTAATCCAATCATTGTTTACAATATTGGACGTGATAAAATGTGGAATATTTCTTGATAACAGTACATTTCTCACTATATTTTATGTTGTCACTCATTTCTATGATCCCTAAAAGTTATTAGAAGCAAAGGAGAAGTAAAATACGTTTGTTTCATCAGTTATCATGCCAACTTAAAGCCTCTGGCTTCAACGGAAGTAATGAATAATAAGTAGTCGAAACCTCTCGAAAAAAATAACAAGGAAATTATACCCAAGTATGTGCGGTAGCTCAAGACGTATTTATAAGACCTAAATCCAAAATGCCACCAATCAGCAGATCATTTTTATGGAACATTTTTCAAAGGTAATTTTATCAGATTTCCATAATTTCGTAGAAGCACTATTGCTAATGCGCATTTAATATAAACGACGAGTTTCTTTTCAATAGACGTGTTTCGACATCTCATGATGCCATCTTCAGTATAAGTGAAATAATAAATAATACAAGGTTTATATAATATAATATGATACATAAATTACTACAATTATAATTAAGGAAATAAGATAAATTAATGGGGAGCGTCCGAGCGTATTATAAACTGAATATTGTATTGAATTTGAAAACTTGAACATTGAGGTCAAGGTTAGTTTTGTTAATGTGGAGTGCTTCATTGATTTTAAGGGAGAAGGAGGTGTCGGCAGTGTCAATGATTTTGAAGCAAGAGGGTGAATAGTTGGTTTTACATGAGTGAGATTTAAGAAGGTGTTGGTAGATATGAGAGTTTTTGTCTGTTGTGGTATGTTCCCTGATTCTGGTAGATAAATGGCGCGAAGTTTCGCCAATGTATCGGAAATTACATCCCGCGCAATTGAATTCATATACCAGCATTGATTTAATTGAATCAGGGATTGGGTCTTTGAATGAGAAAATGTTTTTGATTTTGAATGATGTGAAAATTAGTCGAATCTCAATATCTGTACAGAAATGTTTCATAACGCTCGCAGACTTACAAACATTATGAAACGCTTCTGTACAGATATTGACATTCGACTAATTTTCACATCATTCAAAATCGAAACTTCGCGCCATTTATCTACCAGAATCAGGGAACATACCAGGACAGAAAAAAACTCTCATATCTACCTACACCTTCTTAAATCTCACTCATGTAAAAGCAACTATTCACCCTCCTGCTTCAAAATCATCCACACTCTCGGCACCTCATTCTCCCTTAAAATCAAAGAAGCACTCCTCATTAACAAAACTAACCCTGACCTCAATGCTCAAGTTTTTAAATTCAATACAATATTTAGTTTATAATATGCTCGGACGCTTCCCATTAATTTATCCTATTTCTTTATTATTGTTGTAATTTATGTATCATATTACTTTTATGTAAGCCTTGTATTATTTATTATTTCACCTATACTGAAGATGGCATCATTAGATGTCGAAACATGTCTATTTTAAAAAAACTCGTCGTGTATATTAAATGTGCTTTATCAGATTTCATGGGTCACATTTCTTTCGTCCGTCACATTTTTTAAGTCTTAAGTTCTAAGTTCCATATCCAATGTAAATGTTCTAAGAACATTTATATTCATCGTTTGTTGCAAAGAGATAGGTTTACAAAGAGGAATTCATTCTCTACTATCAAAAATGTAGGATCGACACGGATAGAAACGGCTCTATCAATGGTGATGAACTTCAAAGCGCCTTGGCAAATGGTGGGTATCTACAATTTGACAATTTCATAAGTACAATGGTACTACTTCCTGGTTTCATTTACGAGAAGTGGAATCTTGGTTGCACTGAAAAACCTGCATTATATTCAAATATCTACTCTGAGTTTTATTCAGGGGTTGTGAAATCTTTTGAAAGTTTCAGGTGTGCCAGGCTCACTATGTGATCACGTGCAATAGATAAATTAGTAATGATACTGCTTCATATTAATTATTTTTATTCGGTTCTCTTCTTTTAACTGCATCATTGTAAAAACTGATCATTCATATTCATGTGATAAATTTTCAAACAAGAGCAAAATTTGTGACTGTCCTTCCTAGGTAAGGTACACCCCAACTCCATAAACTGTAAAATGACAACCAGACACCCATAGTTTCCCAAGCCCATGGTTATATTGTTCAGCAGTTTGATGGTGGTGATTTCTTTTTCAACAATTCACCAATTATTCTTTGATCAACATCGATTATGTTAAGATCTGTAAAGTTTTCATTGAACCGTTTTAAGGTACTTGGAATCCTTTTAATCCTGAGACCATACGACTTATGATGGGTAATGTTTATTTTTATTGTTCTATTTCTCTTGTGTACGTGCTTAAATTGTTGTATCTGTAGACTTGTGCCATTGTACGTGTAGCCACAAATTTAAGTTCAAAAGAGTCAAGTAATGTTTCACACAAGTTCTCTCAAACCTTGGTCATGTAAAGAACTGAAAGAGAATAAATTGCTTTAGACATTACCTACTACAAAAAAGTTCTAAAACATTTGTGTGCGGTTACTACCAACCAGACAAATATCTGTAAAGTTCTCCATTTTCAGGGATGTTTGATACAGATGGCAACGGTATGATTACTTTCAATGAATTTGCTAATCTTTGGCAGTATGTCCATGACTGGCAGGAATCATTTCGCAGCTTTGACACTGATAGCTCTGGAACAATTGACAGAAATGAGTTGAAAGCAGGTCTGGTGTATTGCTTTCATGTGTACAAACACATATATTTCTACATGTTATGAATTGTTAATGGTGAATTAGAAGAGTTCTTATTACAGAAATATCAGTCTTTACATACTATAAAATCGCAGTTGAGTTACAATTTTACAACTTGTCTCATGATTGCGTTGAGCAATGACTTTTTACGTTTTGAAAAGAGTTTAAAATCTTCATTTTACATGTTTTTTTACCTACTACAAAGTATATACAAGTCAAATCTTTGCTTGCAGTAAGTTAGGTTCATGATAGCAGCTACGCATGTTATGTTGGTAAAAAGTAAAATAATTTTTTTGATTTTTTCAGCTCTTCAAAGTTTCGGTAAGATTTTCTTTTGAGTATTTAATATTAAGTGGTTAGTGATATTGAAATGGATCTTGTATACGACTGGTCTGTTTTTTAAATTTATCTGACTTGTAGGATACAATCTATCGGAGAGGTTTTACGGAATACTTATCAGAAAGTTTGATAGAACTGACAGTGGAGATATTCGCTTTGATGATTTCATTCAGTGTTGTGTTGTTCTTCAGGTAAAAAACATCAATCACAAGATGATCAAAGTGTTGCTTCACGTAAATTGTTAGCTATCTTACTATCTGAAAGTTGGCTGTCATTCCAAGATAAAGAAATCGGTTTTAATAATTTGCTTTCGACTTGAAATAATTACACAATCTGATTATCACAATCATTAATAATAATGGCTAAAGAATTAAGAAAAAAGGCTCACGAAAACCTCATTCTGATCAATTTTGATGGCATTAAAAAAGGCATTAATGTCTCATGAATTGTTGGGCCGGTACTCCATTCCTGCACAAAAATGTCACACCATGAGCTGCAAAGTAGAAGCTTAACAAGTAAAATATCTTATTAATTGTGTTTTTACCTCTAGACTTTGACCAACGCTTTCAAACAACGCGATCATAACTTGACTGGATGCATAACCGTCAGCTACGAACAATTTTTAACAATGGTGTTTAGTTGCAAGACGAAATAGATATATCATCTGCAATACTGCCGAACTTTGACGTACCTTATGCTATTTTATGTAAATACATATGCACAAGTTCAAACAAATATTTTTAACAATGGTGTTTAGTTGTAAGACGAAATAGATATATCATCTGCAACACTGCCGAACATTAACGCACATTATGCTATTTTATGTAAATATATATGCACAAGTTCACAACAAATATTTTTAACAATGGTGTTTAAATGCAAGACGAAGTAGATATATCATTTGCAACACTGCCGAACATTGATGTACATTATGCTATTTTATATAAATATATATGCACAAGTTCACAACAAATATAATTAAAATCTTCAATGTAAGCCTTGATTTGTTGTTACCTATAAAGATGAATTGTAGTTCTGCAACTGTGATAAGTGATTGAGCTGTTGTGACTATGTCTACTTGGGTGTATTCAGACGTTGCGATTTAGCTTACTCAACTAAGAGTTATATGATCTGAACTTTGCCAAAAGTCGATCGCTCAGAATTGGCGTTTAAATTTAATTTTCCCACTTATTGACCATGTAAATAAACAAAACAACTAAAAAGTATTAAGTATTTGTAGTCGACTCTTCACTTTCCGCTTCATTAGATTTTAGAAGGCCAGACATTTCTATCACAAAGTTTTATAAATTGCCACTACAGTAAAACTGAAAAGGCTAAGGTTATAGAAATCAATGACGTATGCTTGTTTGGTTGGGTAAGGACTCGGATAAATGGATATTGGAGAACCTCATCAGCTAAAAGTAAACACTGTGTACATCAAATACACGAAAAATCTGCAGCTACATGCAAAACAAAAGCAATGGGAAAATGAGCTGGGTGAGCACTCAACGGCCTAGCTCTACCAAATTTGCTCGAATATGCCCAATCTTTCTCTGCTTCGCCACATCATCGGTTGCAAATTGCATTCAACATCTGCTTCTGTTTTGAATGTCACTGAATTACATTTTAGTGTTCGGCGAACTTTATACCGTAAATAGGAATGCATTTAAAAATTAACAATTGCTTATTTAGGGGTGTTTACATGAATCCGGAATGAGTTACAACTCGATCCGGAGCGAGTTCACTCCTATTTTCATTCCGGATGGAAATTTAGTTTTAACCTCATGTAAACGCGAATTGAGTTTCATTCTGGGTTTCTTTCTCCTCCGGAAATATGATGCGAAAGGTGCGGTCGTGCTCCAAGCGTCACTTATAACACGCCGATCGTTTAGCTCATGGAAATGGTGCGATAACAGTTGTCGACAAGTATCGTTATCTTCATCAAGTGTCTTTTGAATTCGGAGCGTTCACTAACACATTTGTTGCAATCAAAGATGAAAACGTCGACAACATATTTTGCACCATTCAGTGTCGGGCATATGCTTTGAAACGAATCGATAAAGCAACGATTAATCCTGAAGAAATCAAACGCGAAACGATTGCATTGCTTTATTTGTCTGACAAATGTGAGAATATCATCAAGTATCTCGATTCTCTGGAAGATACATTCTTTCAGTATCTTGTCCTTGATTTAATGGATGGTGATCTTAATGAATTTGTTGGCAACATGGAAGCCAAATCGGTTCTATGGAACGATCCAAGTCAATGTGTAGAAGTAACAAAACAGATCATCCATGGATTGGCGCTCTTGCATCACAATGATTTCATCCATCGCGATCTCAAACCTGGAAACATCCTGTATTCAACTGAGCATCATCTGCATTTCAAAATTGCAGACTTTGGAATTGCTAAAGATATCTCGGCTTTATCGACCATGATCTCGACCCGTGGAAATGCGGTTTTAATTGTAGCTAGTAGTCGATGCTGGATGGCACCAGAATTAGTCAGCATGAAGTCATTAAAGCACACCAAACAGTCAGATATCTTTTCTTTGGGTTTGATTCTTCTTTATCTGATGTCATTTGGGAAACATCCTTTTGCTACTCCAGGTGACGAACGTCCTCACGTTGTTGAAAGGAACATCAAAGAGATGAACGGCAACCTTAAACATGATCTTCTTCCCGAAGCGGTAAGTTTTCTTCTTACATTGCTGAATGTACAGACATCGAGAAGAACACCAGCAGCGTATCTCAATCAACATCCTTTCCTTTGGAGTGACCACAAGAAGATGGAATTTTATCAAAGCAGTTGGCGATCAACCAGAAGCTATAAAACCGGGTAACTCTTTGCTTTCAGAATTTGAACCGTGTCTACAAAAAACACGAACCGGTCAATCTTTTCAACTGAAACCATGGAGTAGAGAAATACCAATGCTGCATCAGGAAATAACTACTGCATGGAAACAGAAAAACTCCAGAACAAATAATGTGATCGACCTTGTTAGATTTATTCGTAATGCTTACGCGCACAAACAGGAAAGGCCATTTTGGTTTCAACAAGTGCTGGACGACAACATGTTTCTCCGAAAATTTCCACGTCTTGTTCTCGATGTGTTTGGTGTTATACAACGATTAGAACTTGAATCTCGAAACACCATTCATTCAGCTTTAAGCTTGTGATCATTTACTCAGTGTGCGGTGCACTCGGCAGAATCAAAGAAAAAGAAAATTGGTGTGGTGTACAAGAGCATTGATATGAATATTGTGTAGTGTATACTTATCAATACCGGCTCGTGTCAAAGGTACTATTTAGTTTTGGTATGTTGATGATATAGGGTTGCCTTTTAAAATTTTTAGCAACTATAATTTTTTACATCTATAAACTAGTCACGCTTGTGATTGACACCATGTAGTATGCTGTCCATGCTGTGTTTCCTTTACTTATACCCTCAGCCTCCTTCATAACACCCCATCCTCTCTGCCACTTGAATGGTAACATAAATAGATAAACTTCAGCGAGCTTTGATAAGATGGAAAGCATGAGTGTGTGTGTGTGTGGGCTTCCTGCAAAATACTGAATTTAACATGCACACGAATAAACAAAAGCAAATGTGATTAGCGTTTAATGAAGCACATATTCAAAAATCTCCCAATCATAGTAAAAGATAACAGAATTAAACTAGAAGAGGTATGATATGTTACGGCGACAAGTAGCCACCAAAATCTGATCCTTACTGGCACATCTCCTAAACAAATGGTAACTAATCAAGGTTATGATTAAGATTAAACGTAGCACAACAAATTATAACCACGCATAACTTGAAATGTGTGACACCAGACTGTTATCGAACTGAAGTTGCATACATCATCAAATTTTTATTTAATTGTGGCCGACCACCAAACAAAGTATTTATTTACAATACAATTCACCACAATACAGATAAAAACATCGAAAAAGTTTTCTAGTAATTATGGACTAAAAAAGAAGACAATAATAAAAAAAAATAATACACCAAACATTGTTTTCCTGAAATTTTGACAACAATAGCTTCCTGTTCACCTTTGTACTTCGAACTTCTTAATTTTGCTTGCATCAATTGGTGGAAATATCTTTATACTTTTGTGCAACATAAAAATGTAGAAGTGCTCGGACGATTGCATTGGCTAAACTGGTAACTGCAGCCAAAACAATTAAAAGCATACACCCATCAAAATTTTAATAACTACCTTTCACCCGATGGTTTTAAAGCTACCGTTTATGTAATATCATGCGTCGTTTATGAGAATGCAAGATCTGAAATGACATATTGAAATGTAGCAGCCATGAAGAAAATTTAAATTTTCAAAGCTGCTTCTATTGTATTCCTAGATTCAAGGTTTAATTGTTGCACAACACTGAAGACATCAAGAACAAGAGAAGGAAACTTGACTAAAAAAATATTTTTGTCCAACTGTTCTTGTAAATCATCTGGTCTCTCCTGTTTATGGGCGTAAGCGTTCCGAATGAATCGCACTAAATCGATTACCTTATTCTTTCTATACTTCTTTTGTTTCCATGCATTAGTCATTTCCACAAATAGATCTGGAACCTTTAAGTCCCAAGGCATTAAATGCCCAGTTTGTGTTTTCTGCAGATGTTTTTCCAGTTTTGAGTCAGGATGGTTTAACGGCTTTTCTGCTTCTGGTTGATCGCCAACCGCTTTGAGAAATTCTATCTTCTTGTGGTCACTCCAAAGGAAAGGATGTTGATTGATATACGCTGCTGGTGTCCTTCTCGATGGCTGTACATTCAACAATGCCAGAAGAAAATTTGTCGCTTCGTAGTCAAGTCTATTTTGTTTGTATAAATTAACGTCCACGATATTCTTTTCAATGACGTATACAGGAGTATCAATACCAGGTGGCGCGAAAGGATGTTCCCCAAATGACATAAGGTAGTAAAGAACTAAACCCAAAGAAAAAATATCAGACTCTTTGGTGTGCTTCAATGACTTCTTGCTTACTAACTCTGGTGCCATCCAACATCGACTTCCGGCTGCTAGAAATACTGCATTCCCAAGCGTAGACATCATAGTGGATGAAGCCGAGATATCTTTAGAGAGTCCAAAGTCTGCAATCTTGAAATGCAGGTGGGGATGCGATGTATAAAGTATGTTTCCAGGTTTGAGATCACGATGAATGACATCATTATTATGCAAGAACGCCACTCCATTGATGATCTGCTTCGTTACTTCCACACATTGACTTGGATCTTTCCTTAAAATTGAATTGACTTGAATGTTGCAAACGAACTCACGAAGATCACCATCCATTAGATCTAGGACAAGATACTGAAAGAACCTATCTTCATTAAGGGAATCGTGATATTTGATGATATTCTCACAGCTGCCAGGCAAAGACAGTAATGCAGTCGTTTCGTTTTTGATTTCTTTGGGATTAATGCTTGCCTTATCGATTCGTTTCAAAGCATATGCCCGACACTGAATGGTACCAGATATGTTGTCGACGTTTTCATCTTTGATTGCAACGAATATGTTACTGAACGCTCCGGAGCCAATAGACTCTTGATGAAAATAACGATACTTGTCGACAACTGTTATCAATGGACCGTGCTCATTCGCCAAACGAAGGGCAATGTCATTATGACGAGGTGGACATGACATCAACTCGCGCGTCTCCAATGAAAATGACTCCACGCACTTCTTGTAAAGTTTTGGGGATGTTTCTTTAAACTCGTGAATTTTATCTTTAATACAGTACCCATCACCATCACCCTTGACGTCGATCTCTACATGGTTTTCCAACAGAATTTCAATCGCCTCAATGATGTAGTTTTCCTTGACAACATCATTTTTGGTGTCTAGGAGAAGATGAAAGAAACTTTGCCCACGATTGTTTTTTCTTTGAAGATTTTGTTGACTTGCAACAGAAAGAATAACGTACAATAACTTCGCCAGGGTCACGTGAACATCTGACATGCTTGATCTCCTACAATATGAGGTTATTCGGATGGCGATCAATATTATATCAATGGGTATGTTGCCTTTAACATCGGGAATCCAAACGGTTTCCTTGGTTTCTTCGTTATCGGTAATGATCTCTTGTAGGTTTTGTAACAACTTGACTGCTGTGGGGACGTTTCGTCTGTTTATGTTAGTAACGAACTCCTCAAGGTTCAATTCATCAAATTCATCTTTTTGGATAAATGCGAGGGCAACTGACATTTTCAGGATGTATAGTACAGGTGTTTCCAGACGATCATTTCTTTCGCGACAATTTGTCTTCCATGTTTCAACAAAAATGCGAAATATGCTCGGATTGAACGCGTAGTGAAGAGGGACATTCCCCTCTCGGTTGGGAATCATCAAAGATTGTTTGCCTTCAAATTCGAGCAACTTACGACAAGTCGTCGATTCATAAGCCCATTTATCATGGATAGCTGTAGATAAGGCAAAATCATGCAAAACCGTATTACCCTTTTCATCTTGAGCTTCGAACAAAGACGCCAATTTGTCAGGAGATATGTTGTCGCTTACAAATTCAAGTACAGCTTTTCGATCTTCGTCAAACAATTTCGCGTTCTTTCGTTCTTTTCGCTCTTTCGCAAGATCAAAGAAAATATGTCCAATGCTTTTAAAATGACATTCCCCAAACAGAACATGCAAAAAAGTTTCACGATTTTTATTAACAGCAAGTGGGTTGACACCAGTGTTAAATAGATTTTCAAGCAAATAACCATCGTCTTTAATTCCGGGCAAGGTCATTAGCACATGAAGTGGAGAGTTCCCCAGTTCATCAATACATTTGTCCATATCGTACATTTCTTTTTTATCTATAACTAATTTAGCACAGCTAACCAAAATTTTCTCCCGATTTTTCACTAATTTATTGCTATGTGACAAAGAAACACTGCCATCGATGAAATATTTATCATATGAAACGCTTAAGCCAGGAACATCCCGTATAACGTCCATCACATCATCTTCACTGACGCCACAGCCATCGATGTCTAAAAATTCCTCCATTTCAAAGCCTGTTTTTTCCTTAAACCTCCGACATAGCTGAGAATGACATACAAGATGTTTATTTGCCTTATTGACGATATTTTTAACTAGTTGAGACATAATCTCTTTTAAGAACTTCCTCGCAGAATTCTCTTCATCCATTGTGGTGACTAAGTAAAGTAGTTCGAATCAAAGAAAAAGCAAGTGTAGAAAATTATTTATTATTTCAGATAAGTTTTCACCAAAACATTCCGAACGTCTTGGCGAGTCTTAAAATGTCGTTGCATCATAATGAATTCAGAACAAGTTAACTGAACAATGCACCCACTTTGGTTTCTTAAAGGAAGACAAAGAATCTTTGATTTAGACCTGTGTTAAGCGTAGGCCACACTATCGTCCATATCGACGAAAATTAGAACGAAAACTGCCGCAACGAAAATTTTGAACGAAAACTCGACGAAAATTTCGTTTTCGTTCATATTAGAAGGTTGAACTTTTGACCTTTTTCGTCAACGAAAACGCATACTATTGGCTAAAAATATCTTGATAATATCAAACTATGTACTCAAACATTGCGGAGTGGCAAGAGGTTTTGATCAGAGCCCTCTATAGAATAAGAGTTGGGACAACCGGTCTGGGACGAGCGCGGAGCCGCCATTTTGGTTCCTACTTGCAAAGTGAAACTATAATAATACTATTGGAAATTGGGTTTATATGCAAAAGAAGAAAGCAATTTAAGCTTATTCCATGGTAGTATCAAATATATTAGGAATAATAGCAAGCTCTTTTCGTTTTTTTAACGATTTGCGGCAGACCTGATTTAATTTCATTGGTTTGAGCTTCGTTTGCGGTTTACTAGTTCGTGCTTCAAATTGATCGTGACCCATTGTAAGAAGTATTTTTCGTACGTGAACGTGTTTTCTCGGCTTAAGTTCCGACTCTGTAACAAGTTTTCAAGATCTTTAAGCTTGGTGGCAAGCGGCAATGTTATCCTGGCATCAGTGTTACCAAATACTTGGACAAGACTTTGTTCGAAACTTCGAATCATAGTAATCATGCAGATTTGGTCCGGAGAGATTTGTGTTCAAGATTTGTAACAATTTAATGGTAGTGAGTGGTTTATGCCCCCCCAATTTAATCCAAGCATGATATTTTTATTCTGAAAGATCACAAAATTTTCTTGCTCAGCAGAAAATGACAGACTTTTTTACTTTTTAGTTATTGAAATATGCAATGATTTGACCAAGATGCATTTGGCCTTAATATCATTCCTTTATATGAATTTATTATTCCTTTATAATTCCTTTTTAAAATATTATTCCTTTATACGAATTTATTTCGCCTTTATCACTTTATAAAGTATTAAAGTTTATTTCTAATAAAGTTTGTTAGGGATTCTGCTGAAAATTTTGGTGAAGCATTTCTTTAAAATGAATATATTATTTCTATAATATGAAACATTTCTGTTGTTGAAGAACAGTCTGTTTGCTATAAATGCTACTGTTTGTAGTCTTTTATACAGCATGTGAGTCTGATCCAATCTTTAAGTTAGCGAAGAGTTAAATTTATTGGTTGAGGAATGACAAAACTTCTATATGTGTTTAATGATCAAACAGGGGTGTGTTGGAGGGAGCTCAGCCCCGTTTGTTCAAATTCTATGCCTTGTATTGCCAGTGAAATATATATATCAAAAAGCTAGCAGCACCTAAATATATATCAGAAAGCCGGCAATACTTTAATATATATGAGAAAGGTAGCAACAGTTGTAATATACATTAAAAAGCCCAAATAGCTGAAATTACGGAGATATGCCTCTGTGATCTTATAAACCAAAACCTACAATTAAAATATCATCAAAAAGTCTAGAAGAGAAGTAATGCTCTACTTTGAGCTACAGAAGTAGGGTACATTCGTACAATTCAAAACTAAGCTGTTTCAGTGAATATCCTAATTATAATTACTTCATTTTTAAATGATGAACTAAAAATACAAAATACAACATGGAAAATCATAAGAGTTTCTGTGATTTGGTGTAGTTGTTTTAGTGTGGAAGTGGCTGAGAATTGAGAGGTTTGTAGATTGACCAATTTCAGAATATAATGAGAAATCATCTTCGATTAAAAAACAAGCTTTGGAGTAAGAAAACTATTGAAACTGCATCAGCACGAACTTTGCAATGTTATTTGGCCCAAAATGTTTCTCTTGAGTCAGTTAATTGAACCTTATATCAAAAGCTGTTCAGCACAACAATCACCATACGCAATCAAATTTCGTAAGTTCGACGTAAAGGCATTTCTTTCATTTTTTTCGTAATCCTCGATTTATGTGATATGTAATGACATTTAGTAGCCTTCAACAATCAGTTATTACACACTTATCCATAAAAAAACGCAATATTATCTCAAAATACTGTATTACTAGCAGCAATTGCTATATAAACACTAGCTAAAATTTCAAAACTAGGAACCAAAAGGGCGGAAATTGATCAGGTGATCAATATTGCCCAATCAACGTAAGCTAAACGGATAACAATAGATGTCCCAACTCTTTCTTATAGAGGGCTCTGGTTTTGATAAATCTGATTCGAGAAAAACCAATTTTGTATGATAAAAGTCACCCGGATTATAAGGACTCGAGGAACAAGAAAAGAAATCACTGGCAAGATGTTTTAGATGAATTTAATAAAATTACGGACTTGGCGTGGGATAGTGAGTATTACATGTTTGTAAATGATGATCGTCCAGGTTAGTAAAGTCCTGAGAAGGACTGTTTTTGTTGTTGTTGACTAACGTTTCGACAACCTTAGCGGTAGTCATCTTCAGAGTCAAATGAGGAGTAAACGTCAGGTTAGCCGTTTTTGTTATCTGGTTCTTACGTCATTGTATTGTGTGTACAGGAAATGTGTATTGTCATTGTGAATTAGTGTGAAGTGAAATATTTTATTTTTAGTTGTGATGTGTGATTTAGGTGTGATGTTTTTAGTTGTAATGTGTGGGTGTCAATTGTGTATTGTCATTGTGAATTAGTGTGAAGTGTAATGTTTTTAGTTGATCGTTTGTTTGAATTGTGAATAAGTCGTTTGTAAGGTGCCGGTAATTGCTGTCATCTGTTCAGGGGGGTTGGTTCCAAGTTGGTATACCAACTTTCTAATGTAAGCCGTTGTCTATAGTCAGTACTGTAAGTGATGCATTTTGCCGAGTCCCAGTCAATGTTGTGCTTTGTGATTCGGTGATGTTCGGCAATGTGATTAGTTTTGTCTTGTTTCTTAGTAGCTCGTTTGTGTTCAGTAAGTCTTATGTTTAAGTTCCTGCCAGTTTCCCCGATATAGGAGGCGTGGCAGTCGGAGCATTTTATTTTGTAAATTGCACCTTGTCGTTCGTTGGGTTGTTCTTTGTCCTTTATGTTCGTTAGTACTTGTCGTAACGTTGTGATTGGTTTATGTGCGACACGTATGTTGTATGGTCGTAAGATACGCGAGATAGTCTCAGACGTACCTTTGATGTAAGGTATTGTTGCTGTTGTCATTGAGTTGTTCGTTTCGTTGGGTTTGTAAGTGTTGCGTTTGATAAAGTCAGAGTTATAGTTGTTTTTGTCAAAAGCACGTTTGAGATAGTTGTTTTCGTTTTGTAGAGCGTCTGGTGAATCACATATGATTTGTGCACGTCTTGTTATTGTTCTGATTGTGGTGGCTTTGTGTGATGTAGGGTTGTAAGATGATTGGTCTAGTAGTCGGTCAGTATGTGTTGGCTTGCGATAAACTGTTGTTCGTAGTTTTTGATTGTCATGTTTTACCAAACAGTCGAGAAAAGAAAGAGTTCCGTTTTCTTCGACATCTTTGGTAAATTGTATGTGGCTGTTCTGTTTGTTGATGTGAGTGTGGAAGTCATCAATCTCGTCTGCATGTAGTGCTGTGATTGTGTCATCTACGTAGCGAAGCCAAAAAGGTAGTGCATGTTTGTAAGTCATGAGTGCCCGTTCCTCTATAGATTGCATTACAATTTCAGCAACTACAACAGAAACGGGCGAGCCCATTGTTGTCCCATGTAATTGGCCTACATCACACAAAGCCACCCTACATCACTTTTTACGCCATATTTTCAAATCTACAATCTACATTCAGATTTGTCCCTTATGACAAACACCAAATTCATATTATAGTTTTGCATAATTTAAACATCCCGCTGAACAACAACTCACTGTCTCAGCCTTTACTTCAACGAGCAAATCATTCCGAGACGTAGGATATTTCAGTTATCATTGACCAGAATGACATTAGGATACTAGACACTAGAAAACTACGAGTATAGGTGTACTCCGAGCTTGACTGATTCGCATCTTTCGCATTTTAAATAGGTGCACTAATCACATCGACTCTGGGAAACAACACGAATCGTAAATCACAGTATAATGATGCACTATCTAATGCAACAAATGTACGTAAATTGTTATTATAATAAACAGATTAGCAACTGTATTAGTAATACCGTTATAGCTAATGACTATTCATAACTGTAATTATTTTTATTTGGATCTAACACGATCGATTTAATACAATTTATAAAGGCTTCGTCGTAGGCTGGAATTACGATGAGCATCTAAAAGATGCAATTTTTCCCCAATTTCTTACGTCAAAGAGAAACGGTATAAAACTCTTTATAACACTCAGGCAGTTGTAGGGTTAAAATTATGTTTTACAAACTGCTAATAGTTAGTCTATACAATACAAGTCTGCAAGGTAAAAAATCTTTATCTTTATAAAAGAAGAGCGAAGAATATATAAATCTGCCTTAACTCTTAAGCGGGTACAACCCTAACATTTGTCAATTTAGATTTATCGAAACATAAAAGCCAAAGAGTGTTATACTTTTTACAATGAAAATAGGTTATTCAAAATATTGTTCATTTTTTCTGTCTTCACAAGTCATATTTTGTAGAAAATGAAATCTCAAAAGAAGGTCTCAAAGTTGTACGTCACGTCACAATTTCAATTAATTGACAAATATGATCATGGAAAGATTATTTGACATTATGGCGATTGTTATAGCTATCATTACTGTGGAATTCAAAAGGAAGTTTGTTTCGCAAATGCGAAATATGGAAACGCTTATGTATAAATTAGAAAAATTCGAGACAGCCTCCAAGAAAATATAAACAATATTGCGTTGCAAACAGAGAAATATCGAAAACTCTAAGCTTGCATTTCACCTCAACTCGTCCGCAAAGACATATTCTGTGTTTTTCAAACCTGGGAGAACCATTCGTTGAAAAATACCATCTACGGTTTCACGATACTGAAGCTTCTGTTTTTAACGCATTTGATCCGCCTTCCTGCAGGGGTTAAGTAGAAAATTTGTATACATTATGAAGTAAGGTATGGAAAATCTACAGCAAAGGAAAGGAGAAAGCAAGACCGTTTAAGTTAGGAATATAACTGCAAGAAAGGGCTCTCCCGTGTCATCGAAAGCACAGAGAATCGTTTATAGAACAGACCAGAAAAAGACTTCCTTTTTGAAATCTTACGGGTAGGAAAATGTGTCAAATATACTACATTTACCCTTAGTTGGCCTTTTAGTAACTGCACTGCAGCTAAAATCTGTTCTTGTTCCTCTTGTTTTTTTATTCCAATTTCGTTAAGATCCGACACGTTTAGCGTCAAGAACGTCTTAACATCAACCTTAAAGAAGAAGAGACCTTTCGTATGTTACGTTGAACTCGCCGAAAATCCTGGTTGTTCACGCGTTAGAGAAATTAAAAAAATATTATGTGAAATAGTAGACCTGTTGCTCTTCCAGTATGGTGGTGTACTGTTGTAGTGAAAGCCTTTCCAATAAATCCTTCATCATCTCTGTGATAAACAAAATCATAATTGAATTGCAAAGTTGGTCCAGTTAAGTAACAAATTAATGGTTCGGTGAATTCTACATAGCCGAAACTATGTAACTGAAATGGGTTGGCGATCGTGTATGTCACTACAGGGGATCAGAAATTGAATTCCTACAGAGACATAATGACCTAATTTAGTTTGTATTTGAAGTTGAAGTGAAGCAGTGTTTCTTTCTAATCTTTAATTTTTTAAGGAGAGTTATTACTATCGATTTGTTTGTTGTGTTGTTTATCGATTTCTTTACTTTCTCTTGTAAAATAGACGCCTCCCTCCTTTGAAACCCTCCCTCCAATACTCGCCTCACTCCAATACAAGCCGCGTCAAATTTTCTTAATTAATAAGCCCTTATTAACCGAGCTCGAGGTCTTTACGAAGAAATATCGGACCGAAGTTTTTTGTAAACCGAGCAAGCGAGGTTAATAAAAAGTTTATCATATGGCATTATTTGACCTGAAACGAAGCTTGCTTTTTTTCTCTTCTTTGCTGTTTTGTACGGGTTGGTTTTCACTTTTCTAGTTTTCGTCAGTAAAAAATAAATCGTTTCAAATTGTATCGTCTGGATAGTTAAACTGTTTTCCAAGCGTTTTTCCTTCGACTCTCATTCGCAAATGGTTTTCTGTTTCGTTTTTTTGCGCGTTTTGCTATTTGCTTTACGACATTTGTTTACATTTGACTGCAAAATTACGCACTTTGGACCGTGGTCCATTACACGAAATAATGAACCGGCAAATAAGTTTCTGAGCCAATCAAAACGCGCCATTTTGCCAGAAGTGACGCTTGCCATATAATAAAAGCTAAAAAACTAGACGTGTGTATGAGGAAATACGATAACTTCTAACTTGCAATTCTCCCTACCTGGATAACCAGAATCGAACATCGTTTTCGAAAATGAACCTTGGGAAGTAGAAATAACGGAGGTTCGGCCAATTCTCGGAAGCGAGTTTGCCTTTCGTTTTGAAGGAGGTTTGCATGGAGGTGCAGGAGATAATGAAAAAGGTTTTTGAGAAGTGGAAGCATTGCCGTGGGACGGTGATATTCGGGGAGTGTAAGACAAGGCGTCAATCTTGAAACGAGAATGTCTGTGATATAAAAACATTAGAAAGTGTTGTTTAGTTGCCGAATTTATTGAATCACCCGCTAAGAATACAAGCATTATGCAAAACTTCTCAAATAAAAATTCATAATTTCATATCAGCAATCGTTTCAATTGCACCTAACGATTTTATAAGCAACAAGAGGTACAAGAAACCATATTCCTAGAAAGTCGAGTCGCTGGGATGAAAATTAGAAAACGTCAATTGGACTTGATAAAAGAAAGGGACACATACGCAAGGTTTGTGCCATTAGTTAGCCACATTTTGGGATTCGGAAGATCAGGAGGCTTTGGAGTTCGACTGTGAACGCGACCATTCGTCCCCGGGTGTATTTTATCCTTTTTATGTTTTGACCCGTAGGGATATTCATCGAGGTCGTCCTAAAATAGAAGAGAAAAAGGAAAGTTGAAGAGTTTTTTCAAAGATTGGGTAGATACAGAGTTGGTGACTACGAGAGAAGTTGTTCACGAATGGGAAATGAGAATTGGAAATGAAAAAGAGAAGTTGTTCAAAGATTGGGAAATGAGAATGGGGAAAAAAGAAAGAGGTAGTACAAGAATGGGAAATGAGAAGAGGAAAAAAGAAAGAAGTAGTTCAAAGATTGGGAAATGATTGGAAAATCGAGAGAAAGTTCAAGAATGGGAAAAGATTCGATTGGATAGACAGATTCGAAGAAAATCTTTCAGAAATGGAGTAAGAAAAAAGGAGAAAACTTCCAGAGAAATTGGCAAAAAGATTTGGTGAGAGCAGGTGACAAAACTTGAAGAAAAATTGTTGAAAACTAGGACAAGAAAAAGAGGTAAAACGTGGAAAGAGGTCGTTCATAGATTGGGAAAGAACAGAAAAGAAAATTTACAGAAACGTTGTTCAAAAATGGAGTGAGAAGAGAAAAGAAAACATGCTGATATGTTGTTCAAAAGTTACTCTTAAAGGAGCTAAACATCGAGTAAAGGAAAACATGGCTTTTGACCCCCAAATTTCTTTAAGGGGGCAATGAAAATGTGTATTACATCTACTATTTTGTAGATGCAATCTGCTATTTTGTAGATGAAATGTAGATGTAGATTCTATCGACTACAAATTTTCCGAATAAAGAGCTCCAAAGAGCAGAGAAAAGCGTGGGTATTACTCGTGAAGATTCAACTAGCTGCCCTGTTATCGCTCATTCGATGTGCTAATATTTTCTACCAAAATAAATGGTGACCTAATCCAGTACTTGTCTTGGCGTTAAAATACCTGTGGCGAGGTTGAGAGTAACGCATCCATGAGCTCTCTTTGTTTCGTATTGAAATCACGTGTCGTCGAAGGGGTAAAGGGGGGCACAATGGGTGCTACAATGTCTCCAATCCATTCGTTCACGGACGGACCCGCCAGGGGCTGTACCAAGAAATAGTCTGAATGAGTAACATTGAACTATATCGACTGAATTTATACATGAACTTCGCTAAAACATTTTCTACTATATTTTCATATAATGTAATTTACCAAAGGAAGATCCAACGTTAATGAAAACCCAACACCACAATTTTACATGCAAAATACCTATTCATGTCATAGCCTGAAAAAGGATAGAAATACCCTGAAAAAAGGATTTATAGGAATTGCACTGTGTAGTCCACTGCTTCAAGCAATATACAGCATTTGTTTGCTAGTAGAACGCACATCATGAAACTTGTTTGGAAATGGTTTGACCGGCTATACAGAAGTATACTCATATGTAAACTCAAAGTTTGCGCAACTTGCTTGGTAGCAAATGCAAGGCGCGTATCAAAAAACACAACATGTAACAGGAAAATAACATGTGAAACAGAGCTTTTGTGGATGTTTTGATAATATTTGAAAATTAAAGAAAAAATTTCGAGTACATACGAGAACGTGGTCTTTAGTGGATCCGTCAGGTCTATGGTTGTAGTTGTTGATTCGGATACCTCTGGAATAGTAGGAAAATGCATGGTTTTCTGTTCGCCAAGGAACATTTTTTTGGATAGCAATGAACTATATCACTGAATATTTTTAATAAAAATAATACACGGAGAAACCGAGAACCTTGAGGAATTTTGAAGAAAAAAGGTTTTCTAGAAAAGATTTACTTATCCTTTTGCAATTTTAAATAATGAACGAATTACATATATTTGCGTATCCATTTCAATTGTTGAATCCATTTGCGAATATTTTCAATTTACAATTCATAAATTCGCGTAAATTTCCTCACCTGTTGTCGCGTTGCTTCCTCGTGTCAATGAAATCGAGTTACCGGTGAGATTGCCGTTGATTGGATGAAGCGCTTCGTGAGACGGCGGTCGCAATGTCTGCGGTTTCACGGGTTGCCTCTTGTTCAACAAATGCATTGTACGGTTAAAATTATACTGAAGCTTGCTGAATTTTTTAGTCAAAGACGTCTAAAAATTAGAAAGACTTTCAAACTTTAGCCCACTATTCATTAATGGTCGTACAACAAATTGCAATTCAGATAGCTCATGAATGGACAACGAAAGAAAAGGCCAAAACTATTTTGCCAGCAGCAGCTGAACGCCGAAGTTTAAAAGGGCTTTGAAGTAGCCCCTTGGTAAACTAGGATACAGTCATTTGAAAATAAAACAACATCTGCCACACGCAGAAGTCAGAACAAGATGTATTCTCATACCTTAAAACCTTGCTTGCCATTTTCACATCTAAAAACCAATGTATTTTTGTGATTAAAAAACAAACAGAGGAGCGAAGCATGGTGGTATTAACAACACCATAAGTCATAGAGACAAGCACCCAAAAGATTTCACGGTTGACCTTAAAAATATGGCAAACAAGTTACCATCAGTCGTGTCATGTTTTTGTCGATGTTGAACGTCCAGGTTCGTGCAGTCGTCGGTCAACTAACCCTAACCGTAACACAAACACTCATGTCTCTACAAACCTGGACAGTCAACATTTGGAAACATGAAACGATACTCATTTAACATTGTTTTCTGTCAATAATTTCCCTGAAAAAACGCTACTCTCCCCCCAAAGTCTCGAATTTAACAAAGAACTTACAAGTCCAAAAATTGCAATTCTTTCGTTGCTGTGTTGCATCGAACTAACAAGTTGATATTATCTTCAAACAAGTTTTTCTGCAGTGTTTTTAAGAGATCTAAAAATGCCAGAACAAAATTGATAAGAGTTACATGTTTGAAAATGTAGATCGTCCAGGTTGGTATAATCCTTCTCAGAACTATACCAAGCTGGACGATCTACATTTACAAACATGTAACGATTCTCCCGGGTTCAAACCATTTACTTTATTGATAAGAGTGTCGGAATCTACTTAAAATGACGGCCAATGTAGTTGAAGCTAACTACAACAGGTAGAAGTCGCCTAGCAACTTTACACTAAAAACACATACAGAGAAAAATGGTTGACTTACAATTCCAACTGGCATTTCTCTTCGCTTTCTCTTCATTTTCCCCGTTGAGGCTATAAGCAGCACCCAAAATACGAATTACTTCACAATCACCTAAAATGCAACGTGATAAGTATTTTTCTCAGCAACCGTGGTGCACCAAAACTTGCCAAAATAATTTTTGTTGACACGCTTCAGGAGCAAAAACTTTGCTTAAAAATAAAGGATCAAAGAACAAGAAGCTCAGGGGGATGAGCACTATGCTTAGATTTTCAAAAGTTTTCTAATTACTGTTGATGATTTCTAACTAGCATTATTGTTTTATACTGTTTTTATTTGTTCTAATTACCAATTAGTTATCTTTTCTAATTACCAATGCTATTTTCTTAATTATCAATACCGCTGCTTTCTAATTAGCAATACAATTACAGTTTTCTAATAATTAATATTACCAATTACTGTTGCTTACTAGAATGGTATGGCTAGCACATAGCATGGGGATGGCCCCCTATTATTGATTTCCCAAAATGTTCTAATTACATACCAACGACTGTTGCTTGGTCAAAAGGAATCTTTTTGTCATATGACTCCAGTTGGATGTTCGCGCCATTTAGTACTAGCAGGCCAACAATGCTTTTGTTACTAAAAAATATTCAAGATACACATTTTCGTGAACGGTAACATCGAAGATGAGACGAAATAGGATTTGGTTGAAATGCAAAGAAAAACAAACTGAAATATCAGCAGATGACAAACACAACGATTCACTATTTTTCAATCTGCATTCCTGCTGCAGGTTGAATTCACATTAATAAACGTTTTTGACATAACCAAACCATTTAAATTACGGAGGTACGCAATTCAACAACATTCCTCGTAAGCTAAAGTTTTAACTAACACTTTAGGAAGGCAACAAACCTAGAATGCAACAGGAAGCCCACGAACCAGGAAAGCAACCAGAAGTCTGCCAACCAGGAAGGTAAAAAATCAGAAACGCAACCGGAAGTTTACCAACCAGGAAGGTATGAACCACGAATGCAACCGGAAGTTTGCCAACCAGGAAGTAATAAACAAGAATGCAACCAGAACTCTACCAAACTGAAGTTCATCGATGAGGAAAGCAACAAACAAAAATGCTAGCGGAAGTCCATCAGCCATATTCAAAACACAGTGATCTATTGCGCATGAGCGGAAAAAACGAAGCGTTGCAATAACTCACTTATTGTGAATGGCATACATTAATGCCGTCCAGCCATGATGGCTATCCTGAAGATTTACATCTGCTCCGTTCTTTACAAGGAAGAGAGCGATACGAAAGTGATTGCCAATCGAAGCCCACATTAATGGCGTCCTCCCGTCTTCCCCTAGAAGAATATAGATGCCATGAGATCGTCAAACCTAAGAAACAATAATCTTTTTTGGGGGGTGATTGAGGGATCACTCGGGATCAATATGATGCATTAGTAAACTCAGCAACACGTTTTCAGCAACACGTTTTCAGCAACACGTTGACTGTTACATCATTTTAAACGCGACATCCACGTCAAAATAAATAGTAGCTACTTCGTTTTCAAATTCAAACCGACTTTCAATGAACACGATCGATATATGAAAAAATACGATGTCACAAATTGCATCAACTGCAAGGAATTTTGAAATTTAAATACATCCTAAGTGAGCTTCTGTTGCAACATCGACCGCTGTGCAAAAAGAATGTCGGATAAATTAAAAAGAGCCTGATTGGGAATTTCAGCATGTAAACATCAACGAAAGACATTATTTTAAATATGTAACATAAGAGTTTCCGTGTGTTTTTACTCCGTCTCCAATCAAAGACGAAATACTTGAGCATCTCTGAAGTGAAAACCTAGCTTTGTTTTCTGTGGTCTCTGGTTTAAAAAAATAAACACCGGATCAAGAGACAACAATCAATCTTTAAAACGTTTGCCGGCGCGGCCACACACGTTACAGAGCGGTTCCTACTTTAATAAAACCAGGGAAAGAGAAAATACCGTACCATGAACATATTTCGTGTGCAGATTAAAAGAAATCTCGGTGCAAGCAAATTTCATACGACTTGCTCGCATTCTTCAAATATTCTAACTTCGTACGCCAATTACGAGATGGGCCTTTGGTCGTGGCGTAGCCCGCACGCAAATTTGGTCGTGCTTTGTAAATTTTAGATCATTAACATTATTCATTTCTTTAGAAATCTTTAGTTTTTACAGCAAGTGAACACAAGAAAATTTACACAGCACAACCAAACTTGCGGACTGGCTGCGCCACTGGCTTTTGGTCGTGTGTGTACAAAATAAGCCTTTCCTCGTCTTTTATATGAAATTTTACCTAAGTCATTTCAAGTTGCCATTTCTGAATTACGAGAGCTGAAAGTCATGGGCAAAAATGTACCTTTGGTTCTTTGATCGAGTGCGCATGCAGAATGAGCCTATTCTAGTGTTCAAAATTCATTTCTATAATAGAGCAGCTAGCTCTCCACTCAAAAAAAAATTTTTCGTTTAAAGGCGTCAAAACTTTGTGATTGTTATGGGCACTTTCACAAAATTTACAATTACTTTTTTATTCGCCTTTGGTTTGACACAAAGGACGAAGTCAAATCTTAGGTTTTGAAGAAACCATCTCTATATTGTCTTTGAAACTTTATAAATGGCACTGCGCATGTGCCGACGAGATTTATTCAGGCCCTTTTCATAAAAATCAACAGGTGGAGGATCCATCATACTGGAATCAGGAATTCTCTGAATCTTACTTTGAAAAAATAACAGCTGGGATGGTATAGTAATCTATACCATCAAAGATGTAGATACGGATTATGTTTCAACAAAAACAAGTTTTGAAAAAAGCTTATGAAAAAAATGTAAAAAGATCGATGGTTTTCTCTTCAAACGTAAAAAATCAACGATATTCTCTTCAAATGAAAAGAAAGAATGGTTTTCTTTTCAAATGAAAAAAAATCAACGGTTTTCTTTTCTATTCTGAGTCACCAAATGATCATTGCTACTCTTACTTTTTGAAAATTTTCACTTACTTGACTCATTTACATCGAAGTCGTTTTGCAAAGACATACTCTGTATCTGTTGTAGGTCCCCTGTGATAATCAGTAAAAAGAAATTTAGCGGTTGAATATTTGTCGATAATAGAGGAGCAACTGTTATGTGTAACACAGACTGTTGTAATCTATATATGCATGTCTAATTATTTCATCTGTCAGAGCCTTTGTAATTTAACCTAATCGGTCACAAAAAAAATTGAGCCCAAGTTCAAACTCAAGTACAAATGAACATCTGTCATCGTCGCGTGGAATGAAAATGTGAGAATATTTCATGAAGCCGAGCCACAAATAAGAAACTTAATGATTTGTTCACCTGCTTTTGCTGCCAGGACAATATCCACGGATTTGACCAGCAAACTTTCTGTAAAAGCGTTTCGAATTTCTCAGTCACTCGGTTTTCACTGTGAACTCAATGTCTCATAAATGAACTTTAAGTCTATTTTCTATGTTAATTCTGTTGCTTTCGAATGTGTAACGCGGCGTGAACATAAATGCAAAGGTTGTAAAAACTAATAAAAGATGAAGGTGGCGATAAGATTGTGTGTTTTTAATTGACATGTGATAGGAACTTTTGCTGATAATTGAACTTTTAAAGATAGTCCATTTAAGGATCATTTCTCGTTAAGTGTGCAACTCTATAAATGAGGATGAAATGCGTTGGATAGTACAATGCCATTCCATATTAGGAATAATATATTATTCATCCTCATTTATTAATACGAACACTTTCCTAAACAGAAATCATTTTATAAGTGAACTAAGATAAAAAAATGTCAATTCACAAGTTAAGCAGCGCAAAAAAGCGCGCAAAAACAACATCGTCAAACGCGCGGTGGTTGTTGGGAAGAAGAAAACTCGTACCTGGATTTTGCTCTCGTCTGGACGTACAAGGTCTGAGTTCATTCTCAATATCTTTACGTCTCATTCTCTTTGCAATAGCTAAGGCGGTCTGCCCAAGATTGTTAACCAAATTACAATCTGCGCCGCGTTCCAACAATATCTTGACAGCGGTCTTGTGCCCATTGGCTGCCGCAAGCATAAGAGGTGTCCAGCCCGTGTAAGGATCACCATAATCAACAGCAGCACCATGGGATAGGAGTAGCGATGCCATTTGGTCATGACCGTGTTGAACAGCGGCCATTAGAGGGGACCTGTGACATCTCTTGTCCATCTTATCACTGGGGATATTGACGAGCGCCCCTTTTGATATGAGCAACTCGGCAATTTGAATACGGTTACATCGAGCAGCACAATGCAATGCCATTGCGAACAGCCGATTGCAGTGACTAACAACGTCACAGTCCGCGCTCTGTTGTAATAAAAGGTTGACGATTTTTAAATGGCCGTAATAAGAGGCAACCATCAATGGAGACCAACCGTAAACATTTGTTGACGTCTCCGAAGTTAGATTGGCGCCCTTGCTCAGCAAGAAGCGAACAATGCTTTCGCGACCATGAGCGCACGCGTAAATGAGCGGAGTGTTGCCATCTTCTGCGCAATAATTGACAAGATCATTGTTTTTGTCGTTGTTCAACAAGATCTGTACGCCTTCCAGGTTACCGCTGGTGACGGCCAAGATGAACTTAACAGCGGCCATGCGAGTTGATCTCAACAGAGCTCTGCACAATGCTGGAAGAACTGGCTCATTTTGAATAAAGAGTTCCTCTCTAAGAGGCAACTCTCTCTTGAGTCAAGGATGACATTTACGAGTTGAATTAATGATAACTATCGCCAGACACGATCAGCTTATGGCAGCAAAGAAACATCTTATCACTAACCGAGCAATACGTCCAAAAGTATGAGTTTTCGTATGGTACAACGCGATACACTTTCGAAAATACAAAAGAGCGTGTGATAAAAACAAAGGCAAATCTCTCTGTTGTGAACTCATTCGGGTATGACACCCGATCTTGGAGCAATTCGACGTAGGTTCATCGAGAGGCAGGAAATGCTTAAAGCATAATTTAAATTCTTTCGATTCGCGTAAAAATAAATCGAACAAATGCACTTCTCACGTTGCAACAAAAGGCAAATTAGCGAGGGAAGAAAAACAAACAATACGTCGTTACTTCAATTCACTTCCACTAAAAATGTGATTGACGCATTCTGACGTCGTAATATAATCACAATGTGAAAACAAACATCGTGTTGCGGTCAGACAAGACCAACTACCTGCGGAGAAAGGCTATGGCGCTTGGCAAAATGTGTAACCCATTTAAGTTAGGACTATGGATACAGTTTGGCAGAGACTTGACGTGAAGTGAAAGGTCCGGCAGTTGAAGAGTCGACACTACAGCTTAACAACAGGAACACTTCATCAAACGCCGTAATTTCGTGTCTTGCTGTAACTTGATAGTAATTTAATGGGTGCGAGTTGGATAATGCCATTATACAAATTTGTTTACCAAGTAAAAATTAACGAAAATGCTCAGGTAAATTGCCCGGGGTCTGCTCAGAACTAAGACTTTTTTAAGCTTATTAATAAGGTAGTATTTTTTGGCGATAATGAAACTTTGTTATTTATAAATAAACATTTTAGTGTCGTGTTGATTACCCAGATTTACTAGTAGCTTTTTGACCTTCGAGAGATTTAGATACTATGAAATAATGCTACCATGTAAAGGGCCATCCAGGCCACAAGCAACCGGCCACTGTTTGATAAAAGTTGGTAGTTTCAGTTTCCAAAAAAACCATTCAACGTCTCGTCGAACAGCAGGCGATCACGAAGTTCGAAAAATTAAGGTTGTTGAGCTTGTCAGCCATATACATATCACATTTGGGGTCACTTTTCATGTTGTCGATAATTCCGTCGACAAGAAAGTGAATATTTGCATCGTACTTTTTACATGGAAATTCAATTTTAAAACTAACAAAAAAGCAATCAACATCATACTTCGTTTCAATTGTCTTATTGCGAAACAAACCACCCCCTAAAATGGCGGAAATTAACCAAGCAAATCGACATAAGCTCGTTTCATTCTGAGTGGAAAACTTAATCCCGAGCCTCTCCCATAACGGGAAGACATCAGCCCGTGTGAAAACGACTTTAATTGATTGTTTTGAAACGCAATAGAAGCGGAAGTGGGCAGTGCAAGCAATGTGTTTATGCGAAACAAAATAAGTGGGTGAAAAATGCTGTTGTCGTGACAGTATTTCAAATCTGATTAATTTCTATTTTAGTTGACTCATCAATCTGAAAAAGCTTTCTCGCGTAATACACACGATATTCATGGCGTATATGGGAGACAAACTGCACGGAAAAAAGCTCACTTATGTGAATGGTGACTTTTATATGAAAGTTTTCGGAAATTTACTAAGCAGAAAACGATATCAAAAGCTTTAAATGAGTTCTAAAACGAGAAAATAGTCTGGCGAATGGTCAAAATAAAAACGTAATAGTTCTTAAAAGAACTATTAACACTAACCGACTACTCATCAGGTGTCAAAGTCTGCTAAATGAGTGCTTCAAAGTCAAGCGATTTTTATGTTAAGATTAAATGTTGATATATAATACACGTGATGAGTAGTCTGCCGAGATGCATATCGTCTTTCAGCTTTGAAAACAGGTCTTTTAGAACTCTTGGTTTAGTGTTCTGGTTTTAAACAGTTATTTTAAAAACTATTATGTTACTATTTTCACCATTCACTATGGTATTTGCTCTTTTTGAAACAATTTTGAAACTTTTCACCACGACAAAGTCTCTATTTGACTTTAAATGAGTACCAATTAAGGTCATGCTTTGCGCACGTGGTTTGCCATTCTAAGGGACGCCTAAAATGGCCAACCACTTTAGGAACAGCAGTATTCGTCAATAGCTACTCGGAGTATAGAACAAATAAACTTGAATATCGAAAAAAACTGCTAATCATAAAAGCATTGTCTACATGAAAAAGATGGTATAATATTTGGTACCTATTGTAAATATACTTGGTTGATTAAGTAGTTTGAGGAACTGATACAAAATGGTCAGTGAAATAAAAGAACATGACGGAAGCTTGTAGCTAATTTATGCAGCATCGAAGCATAGGTTACACGTGCATTAAAATGAAATGTACTTCTTTGCTACGAAATATTTAAGGTTTTGACGACATGGATTGGAACTCATCCACGCAGTTATAGCTAACTAATAAACATGTTTTATTTTGAAAATATTCATTGAACATAAATATATACACGTTCTTTTCTCCCTCACTCAAAGACGATCACGATGGACTGCAGTAAAATTTCCTCGCCATACCTTTTGTGCGTTGATTTCAAAACACCTGTTGACTTTGTTGAGTCAATAGCAGGCCAAACCGTTTCTTGATTGTAACGCGTTCCTTGGAGACCTTGTCGTCGGGGGAAAATCTGGCTGGAAAATTGTGACAATGAAAACATTAATCATTTACACAAAACTATAAATTTTTGATTTCGTTCAAAGTGACACAGTCAAGTAGAACCACGAAGAGAGACTTACACCAAGCCGAATTACATAGTTTCTGTTTAAAAATGTCGTGCACAGTCCGCAATTTTTTATAAATTTTTAAATTATAGAAGAAAAAGGTTCACAATATGCTGTCTGCAGTTGACAATTCATCAATTATAAGGCAAAGCCAGTTAGAAAAATTGGGTTAACGATTTCCGACGGTCAACGCACGTGTCAGAAATACGAGATTAAGGACCCGTCCACACGTATACGGATATTTTTGAAAAACGGAGGTTTTTTCCTCCGTTTTGGCCTTGCGTCCACACGTAAACGGCGTTTTCCGTGACCATAAACGGAGGTTTTCCAATACGCTCTCCAGAGTGAAGACTTTTGAAAACGCCGGTTTTGTGTTTACGTGTGGACGAGCGAAAACGGAGGGTTTTGAAAACGATGACGTCAATAATTGAGTCCAGTCTCATGATTGAGTCGTACGAGTACTTTTTAAAATGGCGGGTCACAATCAAATGGTCGGACTTAATGCTGTATATGTAGAATAGTGGCAATAAAATAGAAAGAAGTTGCTCTTGGGACATTTGCAAATCTTATTTTACAAATACAGAACGACTACTTATAAAAGCAGAAGGCGCAAGTGTGAATAAAAACCATTTTCCGTCAAATCAAAAGAAAGCTAGGACATGACATGCAATATGCGCAGATGCAAAGTTATAGAGAAAAACAAAAACATCTCTAACATTGTCACGGATATTACGAGTGGCGTAACAAAGTGCTGATGAATTTGATATGCATTTGTTAAAACAAGCTTAAAAAGACAAAGAGCATGCCAAAAATATATGATTAAGAATTTGCTAAGCGCTTATACAAGCACCAATTTCAGAGCTCGCTACGTTACAAATTAATTGGGAATTAATCTGAACATGCGTAGTCACCCCACCAACTCTCCAAGTTCATGGCAACGACCAACTGTATGTACTAGCACCGATTATTGAGTACTTAGCTCGCTCAATCACAAATTTTCAAATAAAGGAACTGCGCATGCGCAGTATGCTTGAGCATGCACAGTCGACTTGACCAGCTGCCCAAGTTCATGGTCATGGCAATGACCAACTGCATCTACTAGCACCGATTTTTAAGTATATAGCATGCGTAGTGACAATTTAATAGAGAGATCAGTCCACTCGACTAATTGTTGATAGTCATGGCAACGACTAACTATATGTACTTGCACTACATTTGTGGCAATTAGCTCACTTAGTCGCAAATTATCAAAGAAAACATCTGGGCATGCGCGATAATGATGTCAATAATACCACAACTTTCGCAAGCCTTTGAATTTATGTATATATATATAAAGCTAAAACTTCATATAGTAGATGTCAACTAGCAGTCGAAGCTGGGTGCGATTAGATATGCAGTGGCTTAGGGGTTCACACATCGGTCGCGACAGCACTCTCCCTGCGTACCCCGAGCAAAGCCTATCGCAGGGGATCTCGGGATCTGATGGGCGGAAGCTTGCTACGTATTGGCTTCCCCAAGTAGGATAGCGTGGAGGGGCCGAAATCTCCTACCGAAACGTTAACATGCGGCGTTCTAGTGCCTTACACTCAAGAGGGTATCGGGAAGCATGGACCGAAAACGGGGTTTTTTGCTTTCGAACTTTATCTTTTTGTTTACAAAATAAGCATTGTTTATATAAATGTTCATATAAATAATATAAATAATATGAACATTGGCATCAATATACCAAGCGATGTTTTGATTAACTGTTTCTGACACTTATAATTTAAGACAACCTTAAACATGTTTTATACAATTTTTATTGGATTATATCTTTCTGACCTAACTCTCTTATTTACTGTTTCTCATGTATCACGAGCAAACCATACATGGGCTTCAAAGCAAACAACGACTATCCGTTTCCCTTAATTAACATGCGACGTCTAGTGCTCAACTATCTCGGGGTATTTGAGCACTAGACGTGTCACTAGAAAAAATTTGTCTTTTTTCTTTACAAGAATTCTTCTCATAAAAGAAACTAGAACATGCAAGGATACTGCAAAAATTCAAACAACTTCTGCCTTTTTGACTTATAATTTAAACAAACTCGAAGCATCTTTATACGTTTTTTTTAATTGTTACTTTTTGCAATGTAACTTTGTCATAACTCTCTCGTGATGAAGGAGAGCCTCCTCTTCACACAATAAAACTCGCTCATCATGAACGAAAGCATCCATGGGCTTCGTAGAAAAAAGGGATTATATACTTTTTTATAATAGTTTCTATAAAGATAACATTTAATAAGCCAAGCAATTTGTATCGTGGAAATTGAACTTCGCTTTCAACTATTATGTTATAAAATTTTGATTCATTTTGGATAATGAATTTCTTTTTACCTTACAGTATTCCATGATTCAATCTAGAAAGAAACTTCTCTTCTCTAGTAATTTTGCAATTAAACAGCACACTTATCGAATTCAACG